ACTTCCAGGAGCCTGTAAATTTTCAGTTCTTCCAAGGTGCTATGATCAAGGGTGAGGTGTTTACTCCTTTCTGGTCCCGTGCTCTGCTGTAAGAGTGACCACAAGCACTCTTTTCTGTCTTGGAACTGTGAGGAGGATTTCATCTCTACAGCCACTACAAGCTCTACCACTCCAGTGTTTCTTCTCACCCCAGGACCACCACCCAGAACTGTGACCCAGATCCAAGCACAAGCAAAGTAAGAGAATCCTGCACCAGCAGAGAGATCCCTGCAATCCCCCTCTGATCAGCCACTTGATTCCCCCTCAGTCTGTGGGCTGGAATCTCAGGAGGCAGCCGCTGCTCCAGGACCGAGCTCAGGGAATGGGGCTGGGACCCCATGCTTCTCTCTTACCACAGGAACAGACTTTTCCCACCCACCTTCTAAGTTGTCTTTGGCGTTTGTGGGTTGAGAAGTCTGGAAAACGCCACAGCTGGCTGTGATTCAGTCCTCTGAGGCCTGCTCCAGGTTTGCTGTGGCCTGCGCACCCATGCTGAACTGCGCTCCTCTTACAGCCCAGTGCAATATACCTTTCCAATCAACCACAAGGTTGTATTGGGCTGGAGAGTTGTTTCACTTTGTCTTTTTGTGGGTTCTGCTGCTTTAGAATTTGTTTAGAGCCATTTTTTATAGGTATTTGGAGGGATCTGGGGGACAGCTGAAGCAAGTCACTGCTTTTACTCTGCCTTCTTGGCTCTGCCCCCATGGAATCTTTTCAGTTATATCCATGGTCATTTGAAAAGACTGACCTTTTAATAATTCACATAGGAAAAACAAAGTGTATCAAAAATGCCTACTGTCAGGACTATAACATGAATTTGGATACCCTGTCTATTGAGTCAATATATCAGTACATATATAAAACCACTAAAGATGGATTATGAGCAGGGTCTAGAATTAAGTAAGAAGAGAGCTGGCTCAATTACATATGGAAAATTGTACAGATTTCTGACAAGATGGCTAAGAAACTGGATCTAAGACCAGCTGATATCCATCATCTCAAAATACTAAGAAATATGCCACACAAAGTATACAGCAAACAACAAAAGAAAAAAGAACAGCACTTTCAGTGATCCCAAGTTTCTCCATGGTCAAAAACTCATCTTTTTAACATGAGTGTTCTTCTGGTGGTACTGAATGGCTGTGACTCTTGAAACACCAGTCTTCAAGAAACAAAAGTTGTAGGTGACTCAATGGACAGTGGAAAGATGTATAGTGGGCATAGGTTGCAATATATTTGCAATGACAACAGTATACTTAAGAAGTGGTATGAGAAATATTGAAGAAAAATACCCTAAGAGTGCGGGACAGGGGTGGTGAATCTGTGGCCTCAAGGCCACATGTGGCCCTTTAGGTCCTCCAAGTGCACCCCTTTGACTAAATCCAAACTTCACAGAACAAATCTCCTTAATAAAAGGATTTGTTCTGTAAAACTTGGACTCAGTCAAAAGGCCATACCCAAGGACCTAGAAGGCCACATGTGGCCTTGAGGTTGCAGGTCACCCCCCACCTGCCCCAGATGTTTTGGCAGTGAGAATAAGGGATACCAGACAGCCTATGTGTTATGGAGACCTGAGGTGTCAAACCCACAGCCAGCCTGCAATATTCCCCAGTTTACCTGAACCAGACTAAAATGTAACTGGGAAATATTTAACAAAATAAACAAAAATACAATAGAATATAGATAATATTAATATATGGTTTTCTAGGTCAACATGTAGCCTGCAGGGATCCTTATGTAGAGCTTAGTGATCCTTATTTCTAAGTTTGACACCACTGGTGTAGACCTTTTATGGAGGCCCTGTGGGAAAAAAATGGACAAGAGTTGTGCAGGGTGAGGGGAGATGTGAGTGCATTGTGATCTGTTCCTGAAAGATACTGTCCAGGCTCTTTTTTTCATTATGATTTTCAGGTAGACCAATAATTTTTAAATTGTTCCTCCTGGATTGATTTTCCAGGTCAGTTGTTTTACCAATGAGGTATTTTACATTTTCATCTATTTTTCATTCTTTTGTTTTTGACTGATTCTTGCTCTCTCATAGTCATTAGCTTCCATTTGCCCAATTCTAATTTTTAACGAATTGTTTTCTTCTATTAAAGATTTAGTATCTCCTTCCCCATTTGGCCAACTGTATTTTTTAGGGACTTGTTTTCTTCAGTGTACTTTTTTTTCCAGTTGGCCAATTATATTTTTTAAGGATTTGTTTTCTACAGTTAATTTTTGTCCTTCCTTTTCAAAGCTATTGACTCTCTCTTGCATACCCCTCATTTCTTTTCCCATTTTTTCTTGTATCTCTCTCATTTGACTTTTAAAATCCTTCTTGAGCTCTTCTAAGAAGGCTTTTTGGGCTTCAGACCAGTTCATATTCCCTTTTGAGGTTCTAGATGTGGGTTTGTTGACAGTGTTGTCCTCTTCAGAATTTCTGCCTTGATCTTCACTCTTCCCATAATAAGAATCTATCGTACATTTCTTTTTGCTCATGGTGTTTGTTTATTTCCTGGCCTTTAAAGAGACTAAGCTCTCCTGATGGGGAGCAGGGGTCACTGACCCAAGCTTCTTGTGTTGGGAGCCTAGGGCCTGGTCACTGCCTTTGTGTGCTGGGGCCTCCAATGCTGGCATTTACAGCCTATAGGGTTCTGGCAGCTTACTTGGTGTTGAGATGGAATCAGCAACACTGGAACTCTAGGAGGAGGATTGGGTAGTGTGGCTCCTGGAGATTTCCTGCTCACTAGGGCCTTTCCTTCCTTTCCCTTTCTTCAGCTCCTTTCAGATGGATGTTGTAGGGTGTTTATCCACCTGGGGCCCCTTGGAGTGCTGCTTCCCTTAATTTTGCTGAGGCACTGGGAGATCCAGTTGCTGTAGGATGCCGAGGCACCTGGTAGTTTTCCAAGCTGATTTCCATCGGTTCCCCTGCCCCCCTGAGGCACTCAGGGGTCCTGGTTGTTGGTGTTTGCCTGCTCCACCCCCTGGGTTTCAGGATCTCCTCCTGGTACACTGAAGTGGGGCTAGCTTGCTGGCACACCTCCAGTTCAGTACTGCTTTCCTTCTCCCAGGGCAAGAAGGGCCTTTCCCGTTAATCCCTCAAGCTACCTGGGCTACTGGACTGCTGCACTGTGTCTTTCTTCTGGTTCAGCTGTTCCAGGGTTTTTCTTGGGGCTGTGATCTATTCCAGTGGAGGAATATTCACACAGAGGTCATAGGTCTACTGAAGCACTTCAGAGACGATTTACTTCCTCAAATCACAGATTGTCAGAGATGGACAGAACCTCAGAAATCATTTAGTCCAACCCCCATCTAAACAAGACCTCCAAGAATCCCACTCTTACAAATCAGCCCACTCTACTTTAGGACAATCCTAATTAGAAAGTTTTTCTACCTAGCAGAAACCACTGCTAATATTCTGTTCTCTGGGGTCAAGCAAAACAAGTACAATTGCATTTGCATATGAAACATACAATAATATTTGCATATTTTTTCAAGTGTTCTTTTCTCCTGAAGAAAGATTCTCACTGGCTTCAAACAATTTATGTGTAGGCACGGTGGTCAGCCCTCTCACCATCCTCTTCTGGGTACACTCATTATTCTTCCCAAGGAAAGACTTCCAGAAACACATTAATACCATAGATATGATCTGACCAGGGTACAAGATAGTGGGATTATCCCCTCTATGGCTCTGCACATTATTCTTCTCTTAATGCTTCTAAAAACACATTAGCTTTTTTGGCAAGTCACCCTGTTGAAACAAAAACTAAGTAGTCTATCAAAATCACCCTGCTGATTTGTACTCAGCAGTAACAGCAATGACTTGGTATCATCAGTGCTAAAGGAGGGGCTTTCACACACATAGGAAAAGTGTGTGAAATAATCTATAAGAAAATATCTGGAGGCAAAAGACTTGGGTTAAGTCCTTTGAATCCAGGTATGGCAAACGCGACCTGGGACAGATGATTTCACTATTCTAGGCCTAGTTTTCTCGTCTATAAAATGAAAGGGTTTGAATTAAATGGACTTTGATGCTCCTTCTAGATTTAAAAGTATAATTTCTGTAACTGGCATTCCAAAATATCAAGGTGTAACCCTCAAAAGGTTTTCATGTACTCAATATTTATAGTGACTAGGTCGATAAACAAGGTCTGAGTTTACAGTCTGAAAGCTCATATGAATTTTCTAAGTAGGCTCGATAATGCAGAGCTTGGCTAGCTCTAAGATAACTTTGAGTATGTATGTATGAATGAATGAAAAAGCATTTAAGGGTTAGTATAGGTAAAGCACATAGAGCAGAAGCATTATTCCATAAAAGGGCCTTTAAAGAAACAGGCCTGACATACATGCACATACAGGCATATACTTACATTGGGAATTAATGGATATCTGCTATGAATTGTCCCACAGGTCACACCTGAAACCATTACTTTATATTCTCACCTTTCCCTAAACCCAACACTGAGAAACCAGAATAGAAGGGTTTATTTCTTTAATTTGCAAGTTAACAGGTTTCACAGAAGGAAACACAAATTAGAATAATACTGGGTAACAGATACATTTACAGCTATGTGTAATGAACAAAGGAAAAAAGGTAGGAACAGGCAAAGTGAGTGTCCTCTAAGAAACTAGGTCCATAGCCAATACAGGGTGATTGCCTTTGATTGCCACACAAAGAAATCTAAGTTGACAACATTAGTTTGTGAAAAAACCAGAACAACTAAGCAGCAGAACTGACATAAATATGACGTGGCCAGTGCAGACCACAAGGGTCATGGAGATGGAAGCTCTTCCTTCCTTTCTCCAGGTCTACCATGACACAAGAGTGTAGCAGCATAATTACTCTTATCCAAGTGTTCTTATTGGTTTAGGACAGGGGTGGGGAACCTGTGGCCTTCAGGTTTAGGATGTGGAAGCCCACCTTCTGAAGTCCTGAGGAAAAAGAGACTTTTTGGACAGCATGAAGGAGCTGAATGTGGGATCAGAGAGCTGTTTTTGTCTATGTCCTAGAAACAGTTTGATATTGAGGTCTACTGGATTGTAGTGAATATAGCAGAAAAGGTAGAATCTTCACCTGGGCTATGGTGGTTTTGTAACAGAAGAGACCCAGTCGCCTGGTGGTTCTCAAGCCAGTGAGGTAGGAAGAAGAAGGGAAAATATACAGTCAGATAGATGCCCAGTCTAGTGCTGTGTCCACTTGATGGTTTTCAGGTCAATTCCATCTTGTACCATTTCCCACAGTGGGCTGCCAATGAGATAGAGAGGGACAGAGATATTTGATGAGTGAGGGCAAGAACAGAGCATTCACTAAATTAGGGCCCCTACTGTATATCTACTATATATAACTGCCTCTCCTATGTGCAAAAGTACCCTAGCCTCACCTCATTCCCTTCCTAGCCTTGTTCCCAATGTTCTGTACTTCAAAACCAGGCCTTTACTGCTGTACTTCTCATCCTAGAACTTCCCTCATTGCCTGCAATCTCCTCACCCTGGCACAACCTACCACCCTGGGAGCCTGCTCATCTATTTCTCAAGTCCTGGCCATCTTCTCTTATTGGAGAGACTTCAAAAACTAGGCCCCTCTGGGTATCTTCATAGCCCCCTCATACACACTTTCCCCCCTTTCCAAATCCCTTTTGTGTGCAAGCTTTCCCCTTTAGAATGTAAGTTCCTCAAGGACAGATGTATTCCCTCTGCTTGCATTTGTACTCCTAGTGCTTAGCACAGTGCCTGGCATGTAGTAAATGCTTATTCTTTATCTTCTTTTCTTCCTTCCTCCCTTACTGAAAAGAAGTAGTTAGTCATTTTCTGTTGGCCTGGGAAGGTCATTGATGTCACCGTTGAAGGCTTTAGCTGGTGGCTACAGCTTAGACATCAAGCATGGCACACTAAGAGAGCCCAGACAGATTTGTTTCTGAGAGGTCATGAGCAGAAGAGATATGATGCCATGGCCTAAAAGAGGGCAATATATCATGACGGCAGTATTGATACGTCACTGTCATGCTAGAGAGAACCAGAAAGGCAGCCCCAGGACACAAGCCTCAGGGCCAGAACAGAGGCAATTCTCACTCACTAACTCTAATAGGGAAGCCATGCAGCCTTGCGGCGCAGACCTGTATCAGGTATTGGGGACACAAAGACAAAAATAAAAGTCTCTGCCCATAAGGAGCTCAGATCTTACTGGCCCAAGCCACTATAAATGAAAATCCAGACTGCAGGAAGCGTCTTGGTAATGTCCTTACACATCAGAGAGGTACAACTGAGATATTGGTCATCCTTAACACAAAGGAAGAAAGGAACTGCCTGCACAGCCTCAAGAGGAGTAGAAACTAGACATCTAGTGAGAGGATTCAAACTCTGCACTGTTTTCATGGCAGTATCTACTTTTTCTGAAACTTAAGGGAAGACTTTTAGCAGCCAGGGACTTTAAGCCTTTAATAATAGAGACCAGAAGGAGGCTCCTCTAATTCAGCACTCTGTGTACCCATGAGAAAGTCTACACTGCTCTGCATGGTGCTCTCACTCAGGGGTGTCTATGTTTTCCCATCTCAAATCATAAGGATGCCTAAATAAAGGAACTCAGGAGTACTTAAAATGTCAGTATGACCATGTACCCAGGACTGGAGACTTTAGGTACCCAGAGATGAGCTACCATTTTAGTTTGAACCCTAGGACAAAATCATAAGATTTAGGGTTGGAAAGGATTTTAGAGATTATCTAGTCCAATGTCCTAATTTTACAGATGGAGAACCTCTCTGAAGGCCCAGAGAGACTAAGATACTTGCCCAAGGTCACAGAGATAGCAAGTAGCAGAGATGAGATTCGAACACAAGTTATTTGAGTCCAAATTCAATGCTCTTTTCAACTATGCTATATTATTTCAGGGGGCTTCATACCTCATTTCCCGAAGCCTTTTAACATGATAGATGCACTTTTCAGCTGTGTAGTCCACCTCTTCCTCTGTGGTGAAACGACCAATGCCAAATCTGAAATGTATTGCATAAGGTCAGAAAGCCAGGGCAGACACTGAAGGACTCATTTATTCAGGAAATATTTGAACTGAATGACAAAGAAGAGGGGAAAACAAAAGAGAGGGAATGAGGGAGGAGGGAGAGAAGAAAAGAGAGGAGGAGAGAAGGAGGGAGGGAGGAGGGAGAAAGAGGAAGACAGAGAGAACAGAGAGAGAAAGGGAAAAGAGAGAGGGAGGGGAAGGAAGAGAGAGAGGGAGTGAGGAAGAGAAGAAGGGAGACTGAGGGAAGTGGGAAACTGAGGGAAGAGGGAGAGCGAAGAGAAGGATGGGGGGGAAAAAGAGAGGAAGGAAGAGAGAGAGAGGGAGGGAGAGAGAGGAAGAGAGAATGGAAGAGAGAAGAAGGGAGGGGAGGGAGAGGAGGTAGACAAGGAAGAAGGAGAGGGAGGGATGGGAGCAGAGAAGGGAAGGAAAGGGAAGGAGAGCCACAGCCCCATCCCATTGACCTGATAGAGGAATGGGCCAGGTCTTCATCTGTGCCAATGGCTCTAAGCACATAGGATGGCTCCAGGGACGCAGAGGTACAGGCGCTAGGAAGACAAAGCACAAGTACAAACCAAACTCCTCAGGTAACACTTCTTTTTCCAACCCAATTGCACTCATTTTGGGTTTAACTTCTCCACCATGTCCCTAGTAAATTCATCATTGTGAAATCTCATTGTCCCACAAGATCCAGTCAGCCTTGATGCTCACACCTCCACAGTCCTCTCTGCTGTTGGAGGAGAGTGAGGCCATGAACTCTTCAACCTCCTTTTATGGAAAGGAGACCAGAGAAACATTTCCTCAGGCATATTTTCATTTCCCACTAGTTGGACACCTTGATTTCTTTGACTTTTCCATCATGCCATGTCCTAGCACTTATCACAACACCTAGCTCACATTAGGGGCTTAATATACATTTATTGACTCCTGAAGATCAAGCTCTTGACCAGCCTGCATCACCACCACCACCTTTTGGACTAATGCTCTGCTTCCTTCATCCTACAGCCTCTGGTCTATAGATGCCAAAAGCTCAGAGTTAACTTCCAGTTCTTTGGTGAGATCTTCGACCTCCTAGTCCAAGCAAGACCTCAAATGATGAAACTGCTAAAGTACAATGGGCTTAAAGCAAGAAGACACCTCATGGTATGTGTCTAACAAGAAAGGCAGGTTAGTAGGAAAGCTGCTGCAGAGGAGCACCTTTCTTCAAGCCCAGATGTGCCTCTCCTAGCACTAGTATCTCAGGGAACCCGGAACCATTCCTTTAAATCTGAAAGCTTCTGGTTGTCTGAGAACCCCTGGCATTGCCTGTGGTCAGCATCAGTCCCTTAGGTCCACCCCGGCGTAACATGATACCTGGCAGATGTTTCATGTAGATCTCTTCAGTTCATGTCTTCTCAATGTGCTGCAGTTAAGCAGCTCCTGTATATTATTTTGTGCTTCTTTCACAGCACTTTCCCATACGTTCTCCACATGCCAGAAGGTTCAATGAGCGCTAACAGTGCTTAGGTGCCCATCTGATTAGGGCTTTCCCACACCCCTTTGTCCCGCTATGGCCTTACTCACCTGCCTGAAGACAAAGCCACATCCTTGAGTGCCATCAGCAGACTCTCCCCTTCTACATAGGCAAAGGACAAGTTGATGCAGCCTGAGGAAAAGAATCTCCTGTGAGTATTCTCTTGTTCTTCCCCAGACCAGAGAAGGAAGAGGAGAGGATATAGGCTGCAAAGGGAGGGAACCAGACCTGGGTAGTGCTGCACTGGGTCCCCATTCATCACCACGTCAGGGAGGTTGCTCATTATCTTTTCTACCAATCTTTCTGCTAGCAGGGAGATCCTCTTATGGTCATTCTGAAAAACACAGGGACATAAACTGTCAGGTCTTACAACTCAGGAATTCATATGAGATGTGCCAAGGAAGTGAAGAATACTACTATCCTACTTTAAATACGGTGCTTAGAAATGTTAGGCTCCTCCCCGGTCCAAGATGTTTGAAAAATAGTTCAAAAAGACTCAAAAGGAAGAAAATGGTTCAGAATTAACAAATGCCAAAGCTGGGAGAGACCTCAGAAATCAGATTAGATAGTCCCAGCCCCCTCACTTTGAAGCCAGAAAGGTTCAGTGAGTCATCCTAAGTTACCTAGCTATTCAGTGACAAAGAGAGCCCAACAATCCATTTGTCCTTCCAAAAAGAATGGATCCAGGAGCCCAAAGAAACTCCTTACTCAACAAAAGTTCAGCACAAATGTTTGAGGGTCCTGGGGGGAGGAGAGGGGTACAATGGCAGGGCTGACTGAAACCCCACTATGTTTCAGTCATCTTTATCTGTGCTCATACTAAAGGTGTCTGATGCGGGGAGAAGAGCTTTCAGACAGGGAGCCATAGAATGAGGGTGAGAAGCAGCTAAGTGCCTCAGTGGATAGAGTGCTAGGTCTGCAGTCAGGAAGACTCATCTTCCTGAGTTCAAAGGCAGCCCCAGACACTTAGTAACTGTGTGACCCTGGGCAAGTCACTTAACCCTGTTTGCCTCAGCTTCCTCATCTGTAAAATTAGCTGGAGAAGGAAATGGCAAACCACTCCTCTATCTCTGCCAAGAAAACCCCAAATGGGGTCATGAAGAGTCAGACACAACTCAAAAACAACTGAATGACAACAAAGCATGAGGGTGAAAGTGATAGGAGGGAGTTTCACTAAACCTCCATCTCTTCTTGTGCCAGTTCACAGGCAGCCCCCAGCCCAACCACTAAGGGTGTGGGCACTGTCCCAGAGCGCATGCCTCGCTCCTGGCCTCCGCCACTCTGCACGGCTTCCACACGCACTCGAGGACGACGACGGATGAAGATTGCACCAACTCCTGAAGAACAAAAGGAAAGAGAGAAATTGGGTGAGAACAAATGCTGACCTCAAAAATGGTGAAAAGCATCCTACCCTGATTATTTTTTTATTCAGTCTATTCTACCCATACCATTCTACTCTGTTTTTTGTTCAGTGTTTACAAATATAATTTATGTTGCCAATTAGACCATATGCTCTTTAAGGTAGTGACCATTTCTGATTTTCTCTTTTTTTAAAACCTAGCACACAGTGGAGAGTGCTTTTTGTACTTGTTAAATATTCTATCAATGATGATGTCTAGGGTATAAGACCAAACCAACAGGTAAACCATTCCAGAATGTGAAGTCAGCCAAGAGCTCATTTTCTGTCTCACGCAGTTAGGTCTACAAGATATCTGTGCAGTACAATGGCACAGAGAGCCCTATCATAGGAATCAATTCCAGAGACAGAGTGGATTTTGGATGCTTTTGAAGTAGAAACTAGGGGTATCCCAGGTAAGCTGAGCCTCATTTGGAAGCAAGAAGGGAAAAGCAGACTGTAAAATGTTCCAAATCTCAGCTGACAGCTGACCTAATACCACCCTACAATCATTTCTTCTAGGGACAAATGTCAATAAAATACCATGCTTCAAACAGACCCCCACTGTGAGGTTTATATAATGAGAGACTTCAGGATTTTCTGTACCTTTCGGGCCATAAATCTTATGACCACTGATGCTCATGAGATCAATTTTCATGTCATTCACATTGATTGGGATTTTTCCAACTCCCTGGGCTGCATCCGTATGGAAATATACTTTTCGGGAACTGCAAATTCGTCCTAAGGAGACAGCAATAGGATACGTGGTGGGTTGTTCACATGCCCTATGGCAGTATCATCATGGCACTTTGGATCCCACAGAAAAGCAGGAAGTATAATACCAGTCTCTAGGCTAGTAGCCCTGCTGCTGAATGACTAACCATCAACATTCTGCCATTCAAAGGCTTTGCTTCCTTGGCTTTTAATTTTCTTGAACAGAAATGAGAAAGAATAAAGGGAAAAAAAAACCAAAACAGAACCACTTAGGCAACGATCACCTCGCTTTCTTATGGAAAATACACCACTTTCTTTGCATTTTTAGATTCCTAGAAAATATAGGGAAACAATATCAATGACTCCATATTACAGCTGTGCTTATAGTCAAATGGTGTCTATAAAAGGGCTTCATGAAGAACTGGTCTACCAGCCAAGATGAGTGCCTGAAGGGAGGTCGGCTGCCCAGTTCCCATATACCTACTCCAGTAAAAATCCAAAAACCATACCAGGCTGAATATTGATCAATAAATCCAATGAGAAAAAAGAGTTTGTGACTTCTTCCACCCCAGAACTATAAAAAAAGTCAGCCATAAGTCCACAGAAAATAGGAAAAGGGGTCATCAGCAAAGTAAGCACCAGCCCAGCCTAGGCAAACAAGGTGGTAGCCATTTAGCTTGAAAAGAAATATGTGTAACTTGTAAGGCTCTGTATCCTGAGACAGTAAGAATGGAGGCTCCCTTGATAAAGCCCCAGGGTAGTCTAGGCCCTTGAAGTGACTGGAAGTAATTGATTACCACTACGGTCCTAGAAGTGGTCAGATCTGGACACTCAGGGGTTCTGAAGTTCCTAACACTGTCCTGAGATACCATAAAGAGACCTAAAAATTCAATGCTCAAAACCTAGAGGCCTCACCTAGAAGGTGGAAGTCATTGCAGAAACAAAGAGCAAGAACAAGAAGCACCAACCATCCCATGCAAAAGTGCAGCAGAGGGCAGAACCCGGCCCTGCGACAAAGCCCTGATTCAGGAACTTAGACTAAAGAAATAAGTAAACCAAAGAAGATACTAACAATTATTGTAGATCCAAGATACTCAAAAATTCAACCTGTAAGAACAGTGTAACTCTGAAACAACTGCAAGAAACTCAAAGGAAAAAATGGATTTTCTACAAGTACTACATGAATGTTTAGAAGAAATGAAGCCGGGGGCAGCTAGATGGCACAGTGGATAGAGCTCCAGCCTCTGAGTCAGGAGGACCTGAGTTCAAATATGACCTCAAACACTTGACACTTACTAGCTGTGTGACCCTGGGCAAGTCACTTCAACCCCATTGTCTAGCCAAAAAGCCCCCCAAAAAAAGAAAAAAGAAAAAAAAAGAAATGAAGCCAAGAGGTTTTAAAAAAATCAAGCTATCAATTTTTTTCTTTTTTAAAAAACAGATTTTTGAGATCGTTTGTTTTTACAGTGCCTAGTTTTCCCCATTTTCCTACTGCTCCTGCCCACCTCCCTGAAACACACCCCTTATAACAAATCATTAAAAAAAATAAAAAGGAAAGACATGATCTGTTCTTGATGAAACCATTCTGTTTCTTTAATCACCTTTTCCTTTTCTAGACATTCACCAACTATCTCTTTAATGATCCTTTTGAGAAATTTCCCAAGCATTACTTTCAGGCTCATCGGCATACAGTTTGTAGACTCTGTCTTTCTTCCTGCTTTTTTTGAAAACTGGGACATTTACTCTTGCTATCTTGGCATGTCTCCTGCTTTCCATGATTTTTAAATACACTGAAAGTGACTCAGGAATTGCATTTCCAGTTCTTTTAGGACCCAAGGAAACAGTTCATTTGGGCTAGGTAACTTGAACTCATCAGCTAGGAGGTACAGTACATAGTGTTCTGGCCGTGGAGTCAGGAAGACCTGAGTTTAAATGAAACCTCAGGCACTTACTAGCAATGAGTTACTAAACCTCTGTTTGCCCGGTTCCTCCTATGTAAAAATGGGATAAAAATAGCACCTCCCTGCCTCCCTTCTGGTTGTTGTAGAATAAATGAGATAATAATTGTAAAGCATTTAGTATAGTATCTGGTACATACTAGGTGCTATATAAATGTTAGCTATTATTATTATTATTGTTGTTATCAGGGAGCAGTGAGATATCTATTCCCTATTAGTCATTTTGGTCCTCTCCTTTTCAGTGCTAGGGCAACCTATCAATTGATACACACATATTAAGTGCCCACAATGTGCTAAGAGCTGGTGATACAAAATGAGGCCTATTAGTCATTTTGGTCCTCTCCTTTTCAGTGCTAGGGCAACCTATCAATTGATACACACATATTAAGTGCCCACAATGTGCTAAGAGCTGGTGATACAAAATGAGGCCTATTAGTCATTTTGGTCCTCTCCTTTTCAGTGCTAGGGCAACCTATCAATTGATACACACATATTAAGTGCCCACAATGTGCTAAGAGCTGGTGATACAAAATGAGGCGAAAGACAGTTCCTGCCCCCAAGAAGCTCACAATCTAATAGAAGAGATAACAGGCAAGCAAATATGTACAAACAAGATATATACAGGCTAAATAGGAAATAACAGATTGAAGGCACTAAAATTAAGAGGGGTTGGGAAAGCCTTCCTGTAGAAGATGGGATTCTAGATGAGACTTGAAAGAAAGCCAGGGAAAGCAGTAGGTAGGAATAATGAAGGAGAACATTTCAGGCATGGGGGAGAGCCAGAGAAATATCTAGAGCCAAAAGATAGAATGTCTTGTTTTTGGAACAGCCAGGAAGCCAGTGTCAATGGACTGAAGAGTAAAAATAAGATTGGAAAGATAGAAGAGGGTTAGGTCATGAAGGGCTTTGAATCCAAGTAAAGAATTTTGATTTTAATCTTAGAGGTAACAGGGAGCCAGTGGAAAATGAAATAAAAGCTACGGAAGAAAGATCTGTAAAGAAGATTAACAGCTTGGAACAAGAGGTACAAAACCTTAACCAAGGAAAAAAAATTCCCTGAAAATTAGAATAGAACAAATAGAAACTAATGACAACAAAATCAAAAGAGTGGGAAAAAAAAACTGAAGAAAATGTAATATATGTCAACAAAAAACAATTTACTTTGAAAATAGATTTACGAGGTCTAGGAGTATCGTTGTATTATCTGAAAGCCATGACCACAAAAACAGCCTACACATTGTATTTCAGGAAATCTTAAAACAAACTACCTGATCATGAAGGGGGAATTAAAAAGAATAAAAAGAAAAGCAAAGTAAAGCACTGGAAAATTAAGGGGTGCTTATCAATCAAGGAAGAGCTGAACAAATTGTAGCATATAAATGTAATGGACTGTAATTACACTGTAAGAAATGATGAAAAAAAAGGTTTTAGAGAATCCTAGGAAGTGAACTAACTGATCTAAACTGAAGTGAACAAAACCCAGAGAACAATTTCTACAAGGACATTATAATGAAAAACACCTTTGAAAGACTTAAGAACTGCGATCAAAGCAATGACCACGTCTTCAGAGGTATAATGAAGCACGCTACACAGCTCCTGACAGAGAAGTGATGTACCCAAGGTGCAATAAGAGACACACACACACTTTTAGACATAAGCCACTGCGTAGAAATGCTTTACTTGACTATCCTAGTTTGTTACAAGGGTTTCCTCTCCCCACTCTGTTTTTAATCGGCAGTAGGGGCTGGGTAGTGATGAGGGCTAGTAACAGTGATGCCAGAAAAAGAGGACCACTGAAACACTGAAAGATTGCATACAAGTGAAAAGAAGGAAGTTTAGACGGAAGCACAGACAAGCAAGAAAATTCTGAGAGCACCATGTTCAATTTATTGTATCTTCTTTATCAAAGAGAACAGTATGAAATGGAAACTCACAGTTTTATACACAATCCTCTTCTTGTGTTCTGCTGTTTATGTGGGAAATGTTGATTTTTAGGAGGTACTTAAGGTCAAAATAAAAAAAATTTTTTAAAAAGAACTGACTTAAAGGTAAAAGGATTTGGAAATGCAAGGGAACAATGGGTATTTCTTGAGCCCAACACAAAAGATGCCTGGCATCTGCCCATAACTAGTGTCTAATCAATGCTAATGTACTGCTCAGTTCAATGGAGTGGCTGGGCTTCCCCAATGCCTTGGGATAGAAGAATTCCACCTCATCTTTAGAAATCCATACCAGACCATAGCAAGAAGTGCCTGCACTCTATGACAGATACTAGATGGCTTTTTTCCCCTCTAGTGCCAGGGGGCTGGCTACCACTCCAGTGCTGCTGACCTTGGCAGGAAGAACTTGAAACACTCACCAATGTCTTCAATAGGTTGCCTCACTCCGATTTCATTGTTCACAGTCATGACAGAGACAAGGCTGGTGTCTGGCTGGATTGCTGCCTCCAGCTCCTAAAGGGATAAAAAATGGGGTTGAGTGAAGGGCAGGAAGGGGAACTTGATTGTATCTTTCCCTTCTCGGCATACCAGCATTCCCAGCCTTAGAAAATGTAATCTCCTCTGATTTTCATGGGATGCAAGCTGGCTGGTGAGACTGATAGACAGTAGGACTATAAACTCCATAGAGTTGGGCACTACATCTAAACGAAATGTTATAAATGACAGCATCTATCACTCCATCAGCAAAAAGTTAAGTACCTGCTATGTGTAAGGCCCACGACTAGGTGCTAGGGGAGGTATACCAAGAAGTCTAAGATATATTTCTTGCCTTCAAGAATCTGACAGATCCATTGGGATGAAGGAACTATAGAGAATTTCACAGATGGAAAGGACAGCAGAAGCCATCTAGTCCAACCCATTTTAGGAGGCTGGAAGCTGGGATTTGCAATTGTAATTTCAATGATGTAGGTAACTTCTGGTAAGAAAGCTCCTTCTACAAATTTGGATCAGCAACTGTTTTGCCTTATTCTCTTGGAGAGATGATTGGGCCACTGAGAGGGTAAGTGATTTGCTCAGGGTCACACAGTGTATGTCTGAGGTGGGATTTAAACCCAGATCCTTCTGACCCTGCCTACTATCTATCTATTACCCCATTCTGCCTCTCTTGCACATGCCAGGTATCTACACAGAATTCTCCTCAACAACATCCCCACACATAGTCATCAGGTTTTCCCTTTAAATGATACTGAAGAGGAATCAACTGCCTTAGGAGGTATTACATTTCAGTATCTAACATATTCTTCACACGTAAAGGGAAAAGAATGAAAATTGGCAAATAACTGCCATGTAAGCAGCTGGAAATACATCATTAGAAGAGGAGGTCATATTGGGCAGAGGGGGAGAGAGAGGGCTTCATGGAAGAGGTAGGACCTATATTGGACTCCAGTAAGTGAAAGGGAGAGGAAAATGCATCCTCAGCTTCAGAGCATGGAGGAAGATGTGCATGGAATGTTGGCAATACAAGTGTAGAACAGCCCAGCCTCAGTGTTGTAGAAGAACAGTGGGAGATAATGTTGGGAGTCAGCTGCAGTCCCATTCTACTCCCTCTTCAGACTATGGTCTTTATTGAGGGGCCTTCTCACCTTCAGATCAATAATTCCATTCTTCTGCACTGGGAGATAAGTGACCTTAAAGCCCTCAGCTTCCAGAGAACGACACGAGTCCAGCACACATTTGTGCTCTGTTTGTGTGGTGATCACATGCTTTTTCCGTAACTTGTAGAACCTGGCCACCCCCTAGAAGTTGGTGAGGAAGGGAGAAGATACTTAGGCAGAGAACAATGTCTCTTGTTCTTTTAGGGACTGGGGAAGGTGTAAGAGGGCAATCGAAGAGAAGTTTTCACAGAGCCTTATCCATTGCGTGGCAGTTCCTAAGAATACACAGGACAGTTTCTTTACCTACCTTAACTAAGACAGTGGCATTTTGGATTATATTATTTTCAGACTTCCCAGGGTAAACTTTTTCTAAGTGCCAAAGGAATTTTTGTATTTCTTACCCAAATGGGAGGAAATAATTTCCATAGAGAGATAAGTGTAGGTTGTTTCCAAATCTCCACTTTGGTGCTATCATTTTAAGGTACTAAGAGGAGGATAAATACAGGATTCTAGCTGCTTTAAAACCTATTTGAAACTTCCTGTCCAGGCCAAGGTCAAAGAAGGCTGACATTGGCAGCAAAGCAACAAAAGGACAGTGTGTGTATGAGGTGGGAGGATGTGACAGGAATCTGTAATTTATTTTTGTTCCCTTGAAATGACAGGAGTCACCCAGTCTGTTATTCTGCAGAGCCAAAGGGAGTTTACACAGCTGACTAGTGAAAGGGGAATTTTGCTTGGATTAGGATCGTATTCACAGACACCTACCCCTAGGTCAAAGGAGTCATAGAAAAGATTACACTAAAAATAACAGAGCCTGGTAAAAGAGGTTGAAGAAAAAGTCTTTGGTTTGTGCAACCAGCCCCACAGGATAAGACCACTGGACCACAACCTGCACCTCATATGGAGGCAGACACCTAAGGAAGGTGTGAAAACACTTGTAGGATTCTACCCTGGCCAGAAGCAACAATGGCAATGGGGAGAGGCAGGAAGGAGGAAGCTTTGCATTCATATACACCAGAATGGAGCTGGAGGAACAAGTGGTAGAGAAATGAATGAACACTGAACTGAAAAACTGAAAAAGGAAAGCACACACCCTCCTTTACTGCAGCATGCCACACAAACAAGTTATTATAACGTAGGCCAGATGGGGCTGGAGAGGCTCACTGCAGCTACTAGAACAAGAAGGTGGTAACCCAATCAAATGTCCATTGTATACTTCCTGAATTAAAATTCAAAGACTACAGAAAAAATACCTTCTCTCTTCAGAGAGAAGTCTTCTACCTATACTAGCAACTTCCTAAAACGCCTCATTGAACATTATGTTCTCTCAGCGTGAAGTTCCAAGATGTGAAGTGGTTTGGGGAAGTGTTACAGAAAGTTACAAAATGGAGGTGAAGGCCATATTTGGGTACCAGAAGTGGAGGTAGTTGGGATGGGAACTTCTGAAGGCTGAGCTGCTACAGAGAAGTCATCTCAGGTCAGAAAGGTACCGGCATGCTTAATCCCCCTGACCTCAGCTGTTGGTCTGTGATTCACTTTTGTACTGCTTTTTCCTTTGCCCCCATTTTACCTTAATTGCTATATTGTTGGATTCAGTGGCTCCACTAGTGAAGATAATCTCTCGGGGGTCGGACCCAATCAACGATGCTACTTGCTGCAAAGGAAGAAACAGTTACTTAATATTTGACATCAATGGCAAAAAGTGACCACATCAGACAGAGCTGGCAAAATCTAGCTCCTGGAAAAGAAAAGGATAGTACAGCAGAAAAGATACCTCATCATATTGTGACCACTATTTCTATACTTCCTGGAATGGTTATAAATTTTGTCCTTAATAGGGTCAGAAAGAAGTACAAGGCATGTTTTAGGAATCTTTTTGGGCCCTTGTAACCATTTTCCCTTCAAGAAGACAGAAATATTCTCCCTCTAATCATAAAAAAGGCCCAAATTCACTTCCGTTGCCTGGATCCAAATCGCTCTAAGTTCTCACTCCCATCCCCCTTGATTCTCTTCATTCTTGCCTGGCGTGCATGCTCCACAGCAGCCTCACTTTCCCAGCCATATGAATGAGTCCGAGAGTGCGGGTTCCCATAGTAGTTGATCAGATAGGGGAGCATGGCATCCAACACTCGAGGATCCTAAATACAACATAGTCCAAATTAGAGTCACTCCAATGGAGATCCTTTCCAGTAGCTGCTTGTTCTCATGGTGTACCAAGATGGTTTAGCAGAGATCTGACTGTTGGGTCAGCATGCGAAGTAGGAGCAGGGAAACATTCCTTCCCCTTCCAGAGTAACCTTTAATCAGATCTTGCTTTAAATCATACCAAAAATTAGATTTATATAGCACATCCAGTCATTTGGTTCTTAAAACAATCGTAAAAAGTATACACCTGGGCAGGTGTTATTACCCCTGTTTTGCAAGTGAGAAAAGATCTAAGTAGAGAAATAAGTTGCCCAATTTTGGGCATTGGCAGATGTTTCTATTATAACAATTACCTTTCATTTGTCCCTTACAGTTTTCACATTACTTCTATTCCTATCGAGTTTCATGAAACTCAATATTTATTAAGACTTTACTAAGCACATGACACAATTTTAGGTGTTGAGCACCTAAAAACATTATCTGCCTTCAAAGAGCTTACATTCTAGCATGAACTGTTATCCTACCCAACCCACTCCCAGTCCCAGGAGCTCCAAAGGAGCACTACTCAGCACTTCTTCAAAAGCTACAACACTTCAAAAGTTGCTGCCCACCATGGGAGTAGTGGCTTGCACATCCATGTAGAGAGGCCGAAATACTGTCTCCTCCGTGGGAGGAACCACATCTGAGAAGCCAGATGGGTGAGGTGACTGGTCTAGACCTGAAAAAAATAGAGGGAGAAGAGTGCCTTGTGTGAAGACTGTTGGGAACAGAAGACAAATCTAGGGAAAGGAGAGTCTGGTTGGCTGAAGGATGAGGGGAAGTCACAGGGCATCTTCGGCACAGGAAATGGGTATGGGAAAATGAATCTTCTGGAACAGAAGCCTTGACAGATTACCAAGTTGGCTTGAGGCTGAGTCCAAGTCTTTACTAGTTGGATGGTCTGAGTAGGTGGGGGAAGGTCAAAGTCGGTGGGCTGGGGTGGTCTGAGGGTGGCTCAGGCAGGTGGTCTGCCTGAGGCTGGAGGTGGGAAGGCACTGTCTGCATGGCAAAGCCTATAAGAGGGGTGGTCTCAGGGCAAAGTGGGAGGATCTGGTTGTGGGGTACTAGTGAAGAGGGTGTGAGAAGTGAGGGTGGCCGTGGCGGTGTTGGGGGGGTGGTGGGGGGGTGGAGTCTGGGGTCGGCCAGGGCGAGTAGGGTTCGGCCTCTGGCCAAAAGCGGGGGCAGGTGCGTCTCGGCTGAGTATATCAAAGTTGAGGTGGGTTATTTAAAATCCGGCGAGGAACAAGAAACATAGCCACATTCGAGGATGGCGTTAGGAGATGGATGGGAAGGTATGCGAGGGATTGGGGAAAATGAGGAGGTGGGGGGGAGAAAGCAAATAGCCAATACCGCGCAAGCGCAGTCCTCGCCGCGGAGGGGAGGGGCCCGCGACCCTGGTCGCCGCTCTCCACACAGCCCGCCACAGCATCTTCTCAGCTACTTCCTAGGGCCGGAAGTGGCCTCTCACTTCCGTTTCGTAGGACCAGGAAGTTATTCCTCACTGCCCCGGAAGCGACACTAACCTCCCGCCTCCCCAGCCGTAAAGCGGAGCGACTGAGGCCGAAAGCGAGGTGAGCTGCTGTTCGGGCTGGGCTGGGGGCGCTGCTGGGGGCGCTGCCAGGGGCTGGGGAGAGGGACCACGGTGCGGGACTCGGCGTCCGCTTTCGCCGCCGCTTGCCGCTCGAGCTCTCCCTTCTCGGGGATGTGTAGACGGCGGCTGTCGTCCTGGCCTTGCCGAAGGCCCCGGCCCCTCCTCAGGTCCGACCCTGCTCGTCTCTCCCCGCACAGATGCCAGTAGCCGTGGGTCCCTACGGACAGTCCCAGCCCACCTGCTTCGACCGAGTGAAGATGGGCTTCGTGATGGGCTGCGCCGTGGGCATGGCGGCCGGGGCGCTGTTCGGCACCTTCTCGTGCCTCAGGTGAGGGCGGCCTTCGGCACCGTCCCAGGTTTCGTCTCTGACCCTCGCCTTGCACAGGCCGACGGGTCGCATTTGGGGGGTTCCAGGAGCTGGAGGAGACGAGCTGGGGGGAAGGCGGCCGGCGCTGGGAGGGTGGTGTCGGGGCCTGGTGTGGCCGTAGCTTCGGGTCAAGGGGCAGGCTGCACTCCCTAGGGAGGAGGCATCGGGGGTCTGGAATGGGGAGACGGCGATTGGTCTGGCGCCCTTGGGCCTCTCCCCACTGAGCTCCATTCAGGCTTACTCCTCCAGGATCGGGATGCGGGGCCGGGAGCTGATGGGCGGAATTGGCAAAACCATGATGCAGAGCGGGGGTACCTTCGGAACGTTTATGGCCATCGGAATGGGCATCCGCTGCTGACCGTGGCGGCTCCACCTCTCCCGACACCCCTCACACCTCCTTGTGTAATATAATAAAAGGCTTTGAGTACGTGCCAGTCTTTGCTTTCGGGGATTAGTGCCAGACTGTCTCAGAAACGGGTCTTTCTTGTCGGCCTGGATTTATGTCCATAATCTGTGGCCGCTGCCGCTTGTAGGACAGAGCAAACTCAAGATACCTCATTGTTTCCGCCCACCTTCTCCATTTCACAATTCCAACTGGAAATTTAGACCAGATGGGCAAAGATTTGTGGTATTGTAGAACAATGGCTTTGTGATTGAGGACCTCCTGCTTACTTAGCTGTTATCTTAGACAAATCATTTCATTTGCCTGGGCCTCAGTTAATTATTTGTCAAAAGTGAATCTTATAATTCCAGAGGTCTGAAAATAGCCAAAAAGTGATAGGAAAAAGAATCTTGACCCAAAAAGTAGTTAATTTTCAGTCAATGGCTGATGCATTCTGAGGCACCTCTAACTTATTTTCTGAAAGGTCCATTAGCTTATGGAGAGTGCAAGTGCACACTTGTTGCTAGTTTTTATTTTTTAAGTCACTGCACAAAAAAAGGGAAAACTTGCCAGGATATGATATAATAGCAAGGTTTATGGGGATTTTTTCTTTTTGGTTCTGTTGCATATATGAAATCTTTAATATAACTTTTTGATGGGCAAAACAAAAATGATACAATTTACTGAAGAACTTGAAATGGCCTAAGGGTGTGACAAACTGGACAGAAAATGAATAGTGATCTACAGAATAGGTGAATAGTGTGGACGAAAAGGAAAAAATTAGAACAGTGTGATACTGAAGTGGTACAATTTGAACAAATTTTCATGCTTGTTAAAATGTAAAATATCAAGGGGCAGCTAGGTGGCGCAGTGGATAGAGTGCTGGCCCTGAAGTCAGGAGGACTTGTTCAAATTTGGCATCACCAAACACTTGACTTGTACTAGCTGTGTGACTTTGGGCAAGTTACTTAACCCCAATTGCCCCCCCAAAAGTAAAGTAAACTTCTGAACTAGTATATGTGATTAAACTGATAACATTTTTCATTAAGACTGACATTTCTGAACCTGTTTGCTTAGCTTTTCTAATGTTAAAAACAAAACAGTAGTGCTAAGATTTAAAGATCTGAAGTCTTGGGTGTCTGAAATGTAAATTCCAAAGAGAAAACTAAATTTTTAGAGAAAATCGAGTTCACACTGAGAAATGCTAAAACTGAAATGATGGCATGACATCTAGGTGGAGATAACTGCTTAGGCATTTTGTAGAGATGTATGACTGGGGTTCAGAAGAGAAGTCTTGCTTTGAACATACAGATTTTTTGAGTCCTCCAGAAAGAAGAGGTAAGTATTGATGCCATGAGTCTTCCATTTAAATCTGTGCCCACCTGGGAACCTTTTGAACTCTGAAACTAGCCCACTAGTTCTCTTGATTTCTTTTATTCAGACCAAACTTGGCAGATAATATCATTTGATAAGCACTGGGAGAAAGGCATCTGCAGTCTCATTGCTTGGAATGCAAGGTTCTGTGGGCATAGAAGCCATTCATTGGTCAAGATAGTTCCTTTGAAGGCAAAAGGTGCCAAGCTGCCTTCTGTTTTTAACAAATGTGCCATAGGAAACATCGATAATTTCTTTTAAAAAGTTACTCCTTTTGAACTTTGGCACTATTAAGTAGTTAGGTACTCGGCTTCAGTCAAACTTCAGAGAGTAAGGATTTGTTTTGTATTTGGGGAGTGAATAAGTAAAACACAATGGTGAAGATGACTTCTCAAGCCCCCAATGTGTGAATGTCTATTTACAACTTTCCCAACAGCTTACACCTAACTACACTCCCACAAAAGCACCTTTGGTATCCATGCACGTTGTGTTGAACAGATTGTAGAATTCTTGGCGGTAACAGGAAACCCTCTCTGATATAAGACAACACAGGAGAGGCTGATGTGGTAGGGTGTAAGAGCTCTAGACTACAGTGAGGAGATTATGGATTTAAATTCTACTTTCAGTTGCATAACCACATAAAGTAAAAACTTAAGTTTCTTCGTCATAAAGATGGAGATAGTATCTCTAGTACTTCATAATCATGAAATATCAAGTGAGACACTAATGATTGATGGGCATTTTAAAAAGGAATATATATGAGGTAGCTAGGTTGGTGCAGTGGATAGAGCACCAGTGTTGGGAGTCAGGACCTGAGTTCGAAAACAGCCTCAGACACATAACACTAGGTGTGCGGCTCTGTGCAAGTCACTCAACTTCAAAACGCCTCACCAAAAAGAAAAAAAAGGAAAGGAGTATGTACTCCTCAGTCTCAATATACAAACATGAAAGATTTTATCCTACCAGTGTTAAATCTTGCAGAGGAAAATCCAGTTGGGTTGGAAAAACTGCTTTTTAAGTAGACCACATATTAAATAATATCTAATAGATGAAGGCCTTCTGCAGAACTGAGACTTCAACTGTCAAACACAGATTTCAGAATTAAATCTAGAGGGTCAGGTAGTCCAGCCCTCTTACTTTACAGATGAAAAAACTGAAGCTCCAAAATGAAAAGTGACTGACTGGTTTTTGAGGCTGGATTCTCTGGCTTGAAATCTAGTATTTTCCCCACTGTATCACACTGATTCGGTAAAAGAAACATTCACCATACCATACTTGTATTTTTGACATTAGAAAATATAAATTAAAATCACTCATGGCCTTTTAAAGAGAATTTTATTTTGAGTGGTTCTTACAAAGATTGTTGCAATATGAAAGTCATTTGTTTGATAGAAATATCAAGCTGTCTTGTCAAACACACTGAAGTAACCCAAAAATATATTTCAGAGCTCACAGAGCTTAAAAAGAGCAAAGATTATATGCAACCAGACAAAACCTATTTCTGCATTTCCTGTTTCCTGCTCAGACTGTGTTGCTTACCACACTGTATCTGTACATTTGAGGAAATGCAGGGATCATTTTGTTTGGAACCTTAGACACACCAGAACACACAGTATTTACAAAGAAACTTTTACAGATACATTAATTGAAAAGTTACCATCAAGAAATTGAATTTTTGAATCTCCCTTTCTTGCCAATTGTTTATCATAACGCAAGGTGAATTACTGACTAAAGTCAGGACTCATTTAGTTGTCTTTGAATTTCCCATATACAGAACACTAAATATGTATTCCAGAAACCATATTTCTGTTAAACCATTAGCCAAGTGTCAAAATTCATTTAGTGAAATGTAAAATGTAACTGCTGCATAAAAAGTTAGGCTTCTGAAACATTAAAAACGTCATTACATCCTTGTCTGCCTTTTACAGAAAGTACATTTGTCTAAGCTATTTCTCAATTCCTACAGATCACCTTAGTCAATGTTCTAAATGTACATTTACAAGGCAGAACAAGAAAACAGCTTTGTATACGGTGGAAACTGCTAGTTAGGGAGAATGAACACCACTGCATATTCCTGCTATAACAGCTTTCTCTCCTCCAGGCAAGGTAACAGGAATCGCATACAAATGACAGTAGACCCTTTCCTTTTGTTTTACCTAAATAAAAGATAACTCAGGTTTGAATCCTCTTTAAAAAAAAAAGCTATGTACATAAGGGACTAAATTCTCCTTCATCGTCGAACAGGAACCAGTAGTTGTGTTGCTGTCATGGAATCAGGGAAGAGGTTGTGATAAGTTGGGAGAGGTACATATGCAGCTGTAATCATTTTACCTGTCGAAGAAAAGAATCTTTAATGTTTTTATTTCTCTTCAACATTTTAATTGTAACAAATTACAAGAATTTTGGATAAGACTTACCAGCAAACCATCTTCCATGCAATGCATTTACTGCAGCAATGGCTGCAGCAATTGAAGGGCACTTCACATACACGTTGCCCTGAAACCCAAAAGAGCCAATTATTATTATTGAGTGCAGGCCCTCTATGGGCTTCTTCTAGATTAAGTCTGAAACCAATTATGTTCTATAACCGTGTGCATTTGCTTTTTACTCATTTCATTAGGGCTATGTAATAAACATGAGAAAGTAACTTTTCACCTAAATTCTTATACTTTGTGACGATAGGGAGTGCTGCTGTCACTCTATTTAAGGGGAGGGAAAACAATCCCAGAGACATGAAAGTAAAGCGAATTCTGTTAATTTTCAAAGCCGTTAAGCAGTTTATTATGTACAAGATGGGGTCCTGTCCCACCACAGCAGATAATTTTGCTTTTTCACCACTACCTTTGTGATACCTTATAAATCCAACTTTCTTGATGTGTCTATAATTTTCATAAGTTGCTTTTGCAACATCAATTTATTTTCTGTTGGTACACTGTCTTTTCTGCAACTTTTAAGTTGCAAATCTAATTAAGCTTCAAATACTTCAACAGTAGAAAGGAAAGAAAACTTTGCAAATTCCATTTCTATATAATGTAATGATGACATCATTTCAGAATTAAAACATTCAGCAGAAACCTAACAATCACCAACAAGTATGCTGTCAATGAGTCATTTATCTATTAGGCAACTACTATGTATTAGGAACTCAGTACTGAGTTTTGGGAGATAAAAATGCAAAAGACAGTCTTTGCTTTCTTCAGCTCATAGTCTAATGGAGGAGACACAACATGCAAATACTAACTATACACAAACAATGTCATACACAGGATAAACTGGAATAATCAGCAGAGAAAAGGCACTAGAATTAAGAATTTGGGAAAGATCTTACTGTAAGTGGGATTTTAGTTATGACTCAGAAAGCAGGAGGTGTCTCTTGGAATACTCAATGGTTAGCCAGAATGCCAATTAAGTTATTACTACCGTTTACCCCATTCAGAGCAGATCATACCTGAGCTGAATTTTTGTCAACATAAATATGGATGACTCCTCCATGTTTGTTACATTCTTCAATTACATCATCTTTAATCTCTGTATCCCAGCCAAGTTCATCTTCCCTGTAAAAGACAAATGTCAAAATTATGATCTGTATAAAGCTAAGGCTTCTGAAGCTATACCTATGTCTAGGACAAATCAATTTCCTCCCAACAAACTCCACCTCTTTTATCCATAAGAAATATATTGAAAGCATTTAAGAGTAATCAGTATAATGTCCAAAATCCATTCTTCCTAATTTTTTTTCTAGCAACTGTAAATGGTCAAAAATTCCAACAGTAATTTCAAAATATAAAGATTGATCACAGGGAAAGAGAAAATTTAAAAATTCAAACCACCGGTTAAACGCTACATAGGTCTATGACAAATCTTTTTCTTTCACAGAATATACTCCAATTTCATGCTTTGAAATTCATAAAAGATGTGATCTAAACAGTGAAAACAGGACCAACAAATAAAATTGACAAAAGCAAGGATTTTAGATTTACAGATATTCTGCAAAAATTCATTGCTTACGTTTGAGGGTTAAACATATTGGAAAGCTGGAAACACTGTGTTGCAAGGGGCTGCACAGAAGCGGCTGCAGCTAGAGCTGTAACTACAGAGAAAAAAGAAGACAAAAGATTTTGCTTTAAAATCCCAATTATCCACCAATTTTACACCTACTTTGTGACTCATTTTATCCAAAGTTATATTTATTTTGTGGAAAAAGTGATTCAGTTTCTGAAAGATTATTTGTGGTCCTGCCCAGCATATATTACTTTAAATGAAACTCATTTTCAGAAATATCTGAAAACAAAAATCCCAGATCAAGAACCTGGAAAAATTAAAGGAAAATATGGAGAAGAAATTGGGAAGCAATCCGAAGAGAAAGGTGGAAAATGTGATGGGAAAGATAGGGACTATATTTGAATGCTCCTAACCTAGGGTTTATCAAGTAAACGTTCAGTTAAAAAAAAAAAGCTTTTGCAAAATCTTACTTCCTATTTTACTGTCATTAACTCTCTACAGGCCCCTAATAACTACTTGCCTGAAACCAATGGTAGCAACCGTTTCTGCTCATCCTGAATTAATTTACACCCCTCCTCCCTCCCCCCATGCATGGCTTCATACTGCCAGCAGATAAAGATAATGTACCTGGCCACTTTTCTGGGTTCAAAACCCTTTCAATATTTCTTGTACTGCCAACGAATAAAGTTCCAACTCTGTTTTGGTCTTGAACACCAGACTTAGATCTAGCATCATGGAATCTCTAGATCAGTTAACTTTTTATGTGTCATTAACTCCTGAGTCAGTCTTTTGAAATTTTGTAATCACGTTTTCAAATATATACAATTAAAAACACATAGGAATACAAAGAAAACTAATTAAAATGAAGATTCACAAAACATTAAACAAATAAAATCACAGATACCAAGTTAAAAACTCCTCAACCCCTGCTTTAGGTATTATCACACAGTCCTTTATTCCAACTATTTTGAGTTCCATCAGAATAGATATTCATCTCAAACTATCTACTTGGCTTTCTAGGTTCCATTCCTCAGCTTACTTTACCCTAGGCCTGGAACAAAATGCCTCTGGCTCCTGAAATTCTGCCTTTCTTAACTGCCCAGCTAAGACCTCCTTATTTTACCGAAATCCGTGAGGATTCCTTTCCCCAATTCATGCATTGTTTTTCTCTTACGTCATTAAAGAACTTCACATTTCTCAACCCAGCTGGCATAAGCTGTTAATTCATTAAGATCATGGACTGAATCTTAAGATAAGTGGCCTACTATATACCATAACAGTGCCCATTACATATTAGGCACTAAGAAACTGGAAAAATTATTTCTAGCTTAGAGGATGGAATGGTAGTCAACAATTTTTCTTTACATGTCTTGAAAACACAGAATTATGAAAATCATGGCTTCTGTCAAAGAAATGAGTGAAACCCAGTCTATTTTACTTGATAACACAATAAAATTCAGAAGTGTAACTGAACTTCACAGTATTGGCAAAAAAGAGACGGAAGAAAAAGCTGACTGGGTTGCATCTTCTTTTAGACCCAGGAATTCCTACGCAATTCACTACGTTTAGCCTCAAAGATGAGGTATACCTCATCTCAGTTGTACTACTTGGAGGCTCACTGGAGTCAGAGCAGAGCCTATCCTGAAGTCAAAGGGCCTTTCACCCACCAGGCCTTTAGACACTTGGAAAAAGGTTCCTGTAGGAGAGAGGGTAGAAGGACCACCATCAAAAAAGGACCAATTTATTCACCCAAAGCCATGGTACCCAGGTTGCCAGTCAAGATGAAATTTAAAATTCCAAATTATTAATAATAGTAAAAATTTTGTCAAACTCTTTTATATGGCAAACAAAGATTTAAAAAAGTTGAAAACTTACCCTCATTCTGTTGGGAAAGTCTGGTTTGTAAATCTAAAAAAGAAGAAAAGATGATACTGGCTCAATGCAAGAATAATGAGAACCTCACAAATAGGATGACTTGAAGAAAATATTAACAGATATCCAAAAAGGCAAAACCTCTTTTTGTTTATTCCAAATTAAACACTGAGGTCTTTATGTATCCAAGTGGATAATACCATTTGCAATTAATGTTTTAGGGTCACTATACTATTTATTTTGAGCCTCTTACCCAATCTTTCTCCTCCTTCTCAGTGCTCTCTTAAACACCCACATACAAATCCACACATACACAGAATCCACCTCAACAAGGAAATCCCAGCTTTTTTGGGGGTAAATGGGGAGGGTTACAGGTGATATGTGGAAGGGTACCAAAAGTTAGATGAGCAGAGAAACTAAATAATTCAAGATTATTGACTACTACCTTCATCTGTAACAGTAAGACCCCCCCCCCCGAAAAACTTCAAAACATAGATCCTAGTATTTGTTAAATAATATTGGTGCCTTTTAGACACAATGTCTTCAAGCAGTAGCATTGGTGACTCTTAAGGGACCATTTTTTACCTTTACCCAGCCTATCCCTAATTATGCTCTCCATGGCACTTACAGGTATTCTTAGCCCAGGTGGTGACAGTCACTAAAGAGATGGTTGCTGTATCCTGAGTAATCATAAGTTAGTAGAAAGCAGAGATTATGACTAGGTACTTTGCTCAGCATCTAGAAGGTGCCACAAAAAGTAGACATCTGAATGTTGTCCAATGGAATAAGAATTTTCTCAATCTACTTTGTAGTTTTCTACTGGATAGTAAATGGCTGTCCCTAAACTACTGATTCAGGGGTAGGCAGATAGAATTCATAGAGGCAGGCCTGTGTAACTCCAGGAATTCACATGTTGCCTTATGAAAAAAGGTATGGGTTTGGTAAGACTAAAACATCAGACACTAAAAACTGGTCACAAAAAATAAAAGTTTAAAAAAAATTTTTTTGAAGTCACCTGCTTAACTTGAATTGGCTACTAAATAAACAACAGTTTGCTGCCCTTGTCTCTACCAAGAAAAATATTCTTCAGAAAAGAAATTCTAAGGGGCAGCTAGGTGGCTCAGGGATAGAGCACAGGCCCTGAAGTCAGGAGGACCTGAGTTCAAATCTGGCCTCAGACCCAACACTTGACACTTACTAGCTGTGTGACCTTGGGCAAGTCACTTAACCCCAATTGCCTAAAAAGCCCCCCCCCAAAAAAAAAAGAAAGAAAAAGAAAGAAAGAAAGAAATTCTAGTATTTTGGAGGTAGGTATATTTTACCTTTAAACTCCCTTGGCAACTATTTCATACTGAAAATGTTTTCAAGTAGGATAGAAAAATATACAGTATAGCATCTGCTTTATAAGGCCCATGCCCTCAAGGGATCTGTTACCTTCTCCTCCCCACCCCAGAGGAGATCACAGCCCACCCATATTATGTGTCTGGTGACTGATTCTTATCCATGCCTTTACCAAATCCTCAAAATTAGCTTACTCTAGCCTTAACATGTGTAGATAATAGTGTAACATTTAAGCTGTTATTTCTTACTACACATAGTAAGTGCATTTAATACATTCCTGAATTTAAAAACCTAAAGGAATTCTAGCTAAAAGATACAGAACCACTTTAAATGAATTCAGAAAAAGGAAGAAAATGATTTATAAAATGAGGTGGTATGTGCTACACAACTGTTTCCAATATGTTAAGTTTATATGGTGTAGTATAAAAGAACATTAATAATCTGGAGTTGAAAGACTGGGATTCAAATTTTTTTTTTTTGGGGGAAATCACTTAGTGGCTGGGCTTAAGTTTCCTCAATTGTTTAAAAAAAGATGGGGGAGGGGGGAGAAAATGTTCCCATTCCAGCTGTCAATATATGACAGCTTTCAGAGTACATTTGTAGCTAGTAGAACTAAACTTATGTAGAACTGATTAATGGATGTTGCCTATAAGAACATCTGCCTCTTTGGCACTAGGCTTTATCCTTGGCTAATTCCTATTCAAACTTTAATCAATGAGAAAGACAAAGAGGTTCCATTCATGAAAGATGGTTTTGGTTAGTTCACTATTAAAAAGATCCTGTATTAATTACTGCAATATTTAAGTTCATTTATTTTAAAGTTTGGGGGAACAAGGTGGTGCAATGGATAGAGCACTGGCCCTGGAGTCAGGAGGCCCTAAGGTCAAATCTGGCCCCAGACACTTACTAGCTTGTGTGACCCTGGGCAGGTCACTTTCCAAAAAAACTCTAAAAAGTCCATTCTACATCCTTATGTTAATAATAGCAGCACTTCTTTATGGCTCTGAGAAGTAGTTAAAGCATAGAAAAAAGACAAATCATCAGGAAATTAAAGGAAAGCTAACTATTTGACAGCATTCAAACAAAAAAAAATCTAGGCAAATAGTGCTAGTTGAATTAAAAAAACCCTCAAGAACTGAAAAACTAGAGATTTAATTCCTACCTGCTACAGCTCCAAATGCTAAAGATCCACTCATTTGCAGAGCCTGTTGTGCTGCTGGAGGAATCTGTAAACCTGTACCTTTAAAAGAAGCAGTAGGTAATATTTATGTTAATTTTGTCTTTTAGAAAAACAAAACAAGACAAACAAAAAAAACAGTGGAGCTGCTATTCCCTCCTGAGGAAACAAGGTTTTTATAATTATGTCTGTCTTGACTACAATTAGAAGATCCTTTCTATTATAGCAACCACTTCTCAGTGAAAAGTCCAAAGTATACAGCAAAGGCAGGTAGCAACAGATTTCACTGTGATATTCTGTTAACTTATAGCCATAAAGGTATTTAATTACCGATTCATGGTCTAGTTCACTTATAATCAAATACATGATAATTATTTAAAACAATTTATGCCATTTTCCCTTACCATAGGATAGAGTCAATAAACAATTGCTGTTAACCTTTAAGAGCCAGGGTTTATATACTTCAGATTCTGACAACAGTGCCCAGAACACAGCAAGCACCAGTAAATGCTTGCTCACTGATAGGTGATGTCCCCATTACATCTTTTATACTCTTTTAGATCCTTGCAAGAAACTTACCTTCTGCAAGTCTTGCCATTAATTGGAGACGACCAGTTGTTCCCAAGTCAATTCCAGTCCGTTCCAGTTCATCACTATCCAAAAATGAACTGGCACTGGAAGCATCAGTACGCTCAGTAACATGACCAACTTTCATAGGCCTGCCTGCTAATTCAAATCCATTCAGTTGTTCCAATGCCTTTTTGGCACATTCTGAATCTGAAAACTATAGAATTAAAATTGTTTTGTAAATTAATCTGCGTATTTAAGTAGACAGGATGTTTAAAGCATATACATATAATACTAGAAATTGCTAACTTTTTTTTTTGGAAAAGCATTTAAATTTATGATGTATTTGCATTGAGGGAATATATTTTAAATGATCTCTGATCCCAAATTTTTACACTCTTTGAACTCCAAGAAGACTATGAGCACCACATCCTTTTGAAAAACAGAAAGCAACTCTGCAAAGGGATATAGCCCAATCCAGAATTCTCCACCACAGATGACAGTCTCTTCTCATGTGGAGGCACAGGATCAGGCCTCATATAATAAGCCTACTGAGCCCCACTTTATCTGATAGGCATGCTTGGGGTAAAAGTATGCCAATCAAATATTTCATCATTATCTTTCAAGGTTATTAGGCCAACTCACTAAAGGAAATCCTAACAATTAATCTTTTGGTAAATTTCCCCCTTATTCTGTTTTTTCTTTTCTTTCTTTCAAATTCAATCTAACAAATATATATTAAATGCTTACTATTTGCGAGGTACTGTACTGAGGCTGGAACATACAGATCATGAAGCAGAGTAATATGAAATCAGGCTTAAAAGGCTGGTTGGAAAAATTAGAAGGCTATTATGATAGTTCCAAGAGAGGTGATGAGGACCTGACTAGAGTGGCGGCGGCTATGGGAGTGGAAAGAAAGGGAAAGCTGTGAAATGCTACAGAAATAGAATCAATTGAACTTGGCAACTTATTAGATATTGTGTTAAGGGACTGGGGGAGAAGAAAGCGTTAAGAATGACACTGAGGTTAGGAATCCAGGTGACTGGGAGTACAGTGCAACTACCAATAAAAACAGACTTTTGGAAGAAGTGCTTGGGAGTGGGGGAGTGTACATGATGCTAAATGCTATTTGGAGCATGTTGAATTTAAGATACCAATGACACATCCCAGTAGAAATGTCTACCAGGCAGTTGGCAGCATGAAACTAGGATTTTGATGAAGTATTAGAACTGGATATATAGATTTGGGAGTCATCTACAGCAAAATAACTGAACCCATGGGACAGATGAGACCACCAAGGGAAACCGTGTAGAGATCACCATGAGAGTATACAAGTAAAATCTCCTTATATTCAACTCCACAAAACATCCAAATTCTTTTGTCGTATTGGAATTTTGTTAGAACTGAATCACATTTCTAGCCTGCAGGACCTAGAGAAAAAAAAAATGAGTTGACACCCAGCCTCAGTATATCTCAATGGTTAAAAAAAAAAAGCAAACTGCAATTGTAAGAATGGAATTTAACTGGGAAAGAGGAGTGTTGTCACACATACAAAACCACTCTTCCCTTCTGCCTAGCAGATCTTTTTCATCAGTGGATGAGTTAGGTAGATCTTTGTTTACTATGTTTTAGGATTTGAGATAAAATTAAGCTGTCACAAGTAGAATCTTTCTTGAACATTTATACCGTTAATGACAATTAGCTTCAAGACTATTTTCTTGTTTCCAAAACAACCAGTAACCAAAAATGTTATGGATAGACTGAATTTGTAGAATGATGGAGTGGATGTGAAATGTATTCACAAATTCAAGGAATATTAAACATTCAAATCTATTTAAGCAAAAATGTTGTTTTTAGCTCATGTATTTAAAGTACACTTATACAGAAATCCTGTAACACATTAGAAAGCTGTTTAATTTTAGGCAAGCCAATTTACCTTTTTGGCCTAAATTTTTTCATTTGTGAATGAAATACTGTTATAGAGTATGTCTCTAAGCTAATTCTCAATAAAAATTGTGTAATCCCCAAGATTACAAAATGACAACCAAATCCAAATTCACACATTTGGGGGACAGAAGAAATAAAATAGATTAAGGCATTTTGAAAAATTCTTATCACACTAATTATTAATGAAATTATATGTGTATGCAATGTTCAGTTATATATGACACTTTATTTTCATTTAGGGCTCTGCAGGCAGTCAATATAGTAAATCTTTTCCCTAGCCATGGAGCAATTATCTCCAGAAATAAAAGTAACTGAGATTGAATAAAGCAAATAAAATGTTCACTCAAAATCAGATTTCAATCCAGGAAAGCTGGATTGAACTTCATGATAGGGTTGATGAATATAGGGTTACCTAAGTAAATGAAAAGAGCAATCAAAATTGTAGGAAGAATATTTAAAACCAGGAATCATGGATTTAGAGTAGGAAAGGGATCCCAAAGACAATTTGTTCAACACACTCATTTTACAGATGAAGAAAATGAAGACCAAGGAGGTCACATTACTTCTCCAAGGCCACCCACTCAGTAAGTGGAAAAGCCAGGATTCAAGCCCAGATCCTGTTTCCAAATCCACCACTTTTTCCACTGTACCAGAATAAAAGACCTTTATATATTTAATTGCTTCCAGAAGACCACCATATACTAAACTCCAAAAGGCCAAGAATTGATCTAAACTTTGTGTCCATAAAAGCCTAAAATGAATGAACTCTGCACACATCAAGTTTTTGTATTCTCTGTAATCATTTCTATTCATTCTAATGCACCAATATATTCCCAACTAGCAACTCAATGCAACAAGCATTTATTAAAAGTCTACTACCAATAAATCTACAAGAATTTACTAAATGCTTATGTGTAGACAGTAGGCTAAGTGCCAGTAACAATACAAAGAGAAAAACAGTTTGCACTCCTTTAAATGTTCTTGGGAAGAAACAAGATTATTTTCTAATATTTCAACTTATACACTAGAAAATATTAAAGTAGTATATATTCAGATAGGATTTCCTCCTATTGCAAATCAGTCAGTAATCAGGCTTTACTCTAAAATAAGACATCAACTTTAGACCCTGATATTGGCTAATACTAGAATAATCAAAACTTACCGTAATAAATCCATATCCCTTAGACCGACCAGTTTCACTATCCATCATCAGCTGAATGCTTTCAATCTGAAATTGGATCAGACAATTGACTATAATGCATGATGAAAATTAGTGTGAAGAGCTCAATGAAAATGTGTTAAAATACAGAATGAGACTAATATTAAATAGAAACTCTTAAAATTTTTTTAAAGAGGCATCCATGTTTAAACCAAATATCGGAAATTTCTAACACAGACTAAGTCTTTTCTGTCACCTTACTAATCAGACCTTTTAAAAGATTATCAAATTTCTCTGATAAAGGCTTCATTTTTCAAATATATAGGAAGCTGACCCAAATTTGTAAAAATAAGAACCATTCCCCAAGTGATAAAGATCAAAGAATATGAAGTTTTCAGAAAAATTAAAGTAAAGCTATTAAGTCACATAAAACATACTCTAAATAATAATTAGAGAAGTTTAAATTAAAACTGTGTTGTAAGAAACGACAAAGGGGTGGTTTTGGAAAAAACATGGCAAGATCTATATGAGCTGATACAAAGGTAAGTAAGCAGAACCAAAAGAACATTGTACTTAATGGCAATACTTTAAGGATGGTCAATTACAAAAGACTTAGCTATTCTGATTAAGATAATTCCAAAGGACTGAGGATGAAAAACACTATCCACTTACAGGGACAACTGATCGAATTCTGAGCGAAGCTTGAAGCATACTTTTAAAAATATTTTCTTGTCCCCCTCCCTCTTTTGCGATGTAGCTATTAATATGGAAACATCTTTTGCATGACTTTGCATGAACAATGGGTATCATATTGCTTGCCTTTAAATGGGTGTGAAGCAGCTAAAGGGAAAGAATTTGGAACTCAAAATAAAATGAAAGTTAAGAAGACTTTCTATGGACAGTGCCATAATTTTTCTATTCTGTGAGACTATTAACATTTCAATTTAAATTATTAATCTTAAAGTCAGGAAATACAACAAGTCCTTGGGGGTAAAGGACTCAGATTAAGTTATTCAGTTTAGATTAGAAGGACTGAGAATTTGAAAAAGAACTCACCCTGCCAAAAGGCTCAAAGATTCCACGAAGCATATCTTCAGTTATGTTAAAGTGTAATGATCCTACATAGAGCCTCATAGGTCCAGCACTTCCTTTCTGTAGGTTATTTGCCATTGCTGCTGCTCTATTCTTTTCTGCCTACACACAAATGAAAACTGACCATTAACAATGATTATAGGCAAAACACAACAAAACCAAACATTTTCTGATGTATTTCAAGTTAAGATGATTCCAAAAATGTTAAGTGGCATTTCCTCAATCATATCCATGCCCATTTATCTAAATTTTTTTGGCTAAGAACCCATTATATATAAGGGAGTCAAAGATAACTACATTATCTTTTGGAGACTATATAACCCGATCTGCTCATTGATAACCAAGTTTCTACTAACCCTAGTTCTTTTGCCCTCAGTAACCCAAAACCGTTAACTTACTAAGCAGAAAATGTTACACACCTACACATCTTAACAGTGAAAAGTTAAATATATCAAAATCAAATGATATTTGTAAAGCACTTAAGTGCTTCTATAAGAGGACTATACAAATATTTATTACTTTTCCTCTTTCCTAAATTATCACCCAAAAAGGAACTTCTAAGACAAAACCTTCAACTTTCAATTTTTTTTTTGTCACGGACAATCTCAAATAGTGGACAGTCATTTATAAAGTACATTCATATTTTTGTGAAATAAGGTAAGTTCATTGTATTAAAACAGACTTTTAGGCAAAACAGAAATTAGCAACTTGATCTGATTTCACTGACATTATTCTTTTTAAATAAAAGATGGACAATAAAACATGCTGGTGTTCTTATCTGTTAAGTAAGTTGTGCATAAAAGGTTAAGTATAATAGCATTAAAATCTCAATTGCCCAAGCCATAAGCATCATGTGATGATTTTAAAAATACTAAATATTGTGTTTCTGTGATGGATGACTTAACTAGTTAAGCTAACACTGATATTAAACTTATAATCGTGGTAAACAGGGGTAGTGGCAGAGAAAAACTGTAAATAGACCATATCAAGATAAAAAGGGAATTAACTCTAATAAAAATTCCCTAACTAGCAGAAAATTAAATTACCTGTGAGGCCTGTACAATGATAGGCACTCCTAAGACACGCTGGCCAGTTAATCCTATTGCTAGAGGCACTGAGCTAACATCAACAAACTCTACATAAGCAATTCCTTTGGATCTTCTGGAATTTCTATCAGAAATCATTCTTACATCACGGACCTGTAACAAAAATAGGTAGAAAAGTAAGTTCTATAAAACTAGAACATTGGAGTTAGTATTAATTCTATACCTTTACATTTGGAAAGAGAAAGGCATCCCATTTTCTATCTTAGAAGAAGTACTATATTTAACACGCAAATATCCCCAGAGAGTTTATTTTAGCTGGAATGAAAAAAGAGTAGTTAACTGGTGAAGGAGTAAGGGTGACAGTAGCAATGGGGCCTAGGGCAGAAGCTATTCTGCATTCTACTCAACTCAAGATTATCAATTAGTTTTTACTCACTTAATACTGTAATACAGTACACAGTGCCAGCCAAATGCCTGTTGATTTATCACAAAGAGCCATTTCCATGTCTTGGCAGTAAGGTCATATGAATAATGCCTTAATAATTTGGTTCCAACAAATAATTCTCTACTAGTTCCCTTTTAAGTAGGGGTTTTTAGTCTATTTTTTGTGTCATGCCAGCCTGGGAAAGTCTATGAAACTCTTCTCACACAGATTTTTAAATAAAATATTAAGAACCCCCAATTTTAAAGCACTGTTTACATGGAAAGAAAACTAAAACATTAATATTGTTTCCTAAGAATCAAACGTATGCCCAATTCTTTTTTTACGATCTCAAACTTCTTAATCACAAGTACAAATTTCATTTATAATCTCAAAAATTTCCAACAAAAGCTTCATGCCCAACCCTTTCCATTTTTCAAATACTGAACATTTTTGGGGTATCAGTTTGGTGCCATTCATCCTGAGGTCACATTATAGATCTAACCCCCTCATTTTACATGAGAAAACTCAAGCTCAAAGTAAGATCACTTGCCAAAAGTCAGAAAGGAATAATAAATGGCAGAGTTAGGATCAACCTAAGCTCTGACTCCAAATCATGCCTTCCTTTTACTACAGATTATGATGGGTAAATATGGTTTTCAACTACAATGAAATAATTTTGACATCCTGAATATAACATTACTAAGTTTACCTGAAATTTATTAAAATATTTATTTCTTCCTTATTATTCTTTCCCCCTCCACCACTTTTCCCTCCTAGACTTATCTTTGCTACTACCCATTTGTAATAAGCAAGATAATTACCTTTCCTACAGTAGAAAAAAACTCCTCCAAATCTCTTGGTCTAATTCTTGCTGCCAGCTGCATGCAGAACACAGTCCTAGCATCTCTTTCCTCTGGAGTAAGGTTGTCAATAGGTTCTCTGAAGAGAGAAACTAAGTTAATACCTGCTTAAATTCTAACCACAAAGTTAACAGAATTTTAGAACGTGAAGGAAAGGACTTTCAAGATAACTCTTAATAGTCTAATTCACTCAATTTATAAGAGGCCAAAGTGGTGAAATAACGTGTCCAAATAAGAAGTAAAACTAGGACTATAATTCAAACTCCCCTGTTTCTGAATAAACTGGGAATTACAAGTTCTTTATGCCTACAACTATCTCCACAAAGATACCAGCTGCATAAATCAAATTCCATGACAATAAAACCTCCCTAGATAATTTTTCAGTATCATCTGGGAACACAGCTTTTATTCCTGTAATACCACCTAAGCAAAAGTCATTCCAGTGTACATTCTCAAATACTATCAATATGGGCTGGCAAGCTTGTCAAAGCAGTTCAAATATATCTGGGGGTTTAGATGTCCAGTGAAAACCCTTACATTTCACCATATGTAATTAGAAACCCAAGGTTTCTTCTATTATACTTCACTACAACCACCCTTAGAAAATGGCAGAGCTCTTCAATTTTCATAAATGAAGTTCTTTGAAGATGAATAAACATAGGATGGGGCAGGAGAGCACTGTTGTGTATTTAGGCTTTAAAGAAACCTTTTCAAGGTCCTATTTCAAAATCTGCTTCCTACCCCCAAAGAAGCAAAGCAAAACAGAATAATGCATCTTTCTAAGATTAAGAGGAATATTCTGTCATGGATTATCAAATGCCATTTACATAAGGAGGAGATGTTTAGGAATAAATGAGCATTTCTCTATACTAAGAGGGAGTCCTTTTCAAGGACAGTACAGCATTAAGCTTTAAGAGGTATCATACCAAGTTTGAGAATTACACTAAACTTTTTTTTTTTGATTGTAGTAAAAACCACAGTGTGGAGCTTAAGCTAAAAAGAGCATATAAGCTACTCAAATGGGAAGAAAGTGATATACTCAAAGCATGGGAGAGGAATGATTAAAATAAGACTTGGCTATCAACAAATGAAAATACTCAAGAAGTCACTGTAGGTATGTATGTTTCCTTGAAGTTTAGCAACCAAATGCACTCTGGGGACCAAAAGGGCCAGCAAAATACAGGTATCATCAAGAATCATACTGGAAACAAAGTAGAAAAAATGAATGCCTGACTTTTTATAAAAATCAGTCAATTTCCAGTATCCACCCCTGAAATGCTATTTTTAAATGCATAAATGTAATCCTGATGAGTGCACTTCAAACAAGACAAAGAACTGGCACAGCTGGAGAAGATCCAGAGAATAACTAACAGGATACAGGGATTAGAGGAATTTCTTTTATGTAAATATAACTAAAATAGATATGACCATGAAGGGCATAGTAGGATAAAAGCTTTTTTTTTTTGGCAAATCCAGAATTATAAAGTATACATTTAAATGGAATCAAATTATACAAAGTAGTTCAAAATAAAGTACTACTTTACATAATGAATAAAACTTCTAAAACTTGTTTTCACAAGTCATACTGTGAATATAAATTCCAATTGAGGGCATGGATAAATTCATGGATGATAAATGCCTAACAGATTTCTCAGTGAAGCAAAGAAAATCATGTAGATTTGTTTTTTTCATGGTGGAAAGGTATGGGGGAAGAGAATATAACCTTAACCTTCTGAGGATGTCATGGACGGACAAAACACTAGGTTGGATGGACAGTTGGTCTGATGAAGTCTGATACTTCTTATTTTACAGCAGCAAAGAGTCAATTAGGAAAATATCAAGTTTAGGAAAACAAATTAGTAGTCTGACTCTATCTCCTGTGTCACATTAAGCTAAATGCAGTAATAAATTTGAACTTTAATGAGTTTCACAATATTGAGTTAACACACACCAATAGCAGTGCTATTGTTATGGGGACTCTTAGTTCATTAAGAGGAAAAGTTCATTTTTAGATACACCATTAGCACAGTATAATTTTGGCCCTTTTTAGTTGCATAGTTATTTTTATAAAGGGGAAAAAAGAAAGCTGTCAACAACGTGTTGGGATTTTAGGTATCTTAGTAAATATGGGCTATAAGAGTAAACTTGCAAAAAGAGCAAGGTACTATGTATATACCAAATTACTAAACATAGTTAAGTTTTTCAGTAGCATAAATTGCCTAAGTTTTAGTAAAGCTGAAAGCTTGTGAGAAGATAAGAAATAGGGACAACAGCTACCTCACAGGGCTCTTGTCTTTTCTGAATGGACTTTTGCTTCTTGAGCGGCGTCTGCTGTAAAGTTAAAAGTTTCAGAAGTTACCCAAACAAGAACACCACACTAGTTACTTGAAAAACAATTTTTTAAAAAAAACAATTCATAAGTATGTTTAAAAACCTTAATTTGATGCTATGAGGCAACCCAATCTTTCCACGGATGGCACTGTTAAATTTTGGTCCGGAGCTATAAAGAAAAACACAAAGATTAAAAGGAATCCAATTATCTTAAAACAGTTATTAAAAACAAGTTCACAGATCCAGGTTAAGAACCCTTGACGCTCTAGGAGAAAATTTCTAGTATTTTGTGCCACAAAACTGTACAATGATCACCAGTTTTTAAGAAGAAAATGTTTTGTATTGCTCCCCTAATTCCAGGTTTAATTTGAGAAAAATTTCATCAATGTCTGGTAGAGGTGCTTTCATAGAGATTACTGTGCACTTTTGTTTTCAGGACATTAGTTTGGATTCAGTGATTTTTTTTTTAAATAGCCTTTATCTTGAGAAAATAATTAAGTGGTATGTTTGAGCTGTTGGCTAGCTTAAAGTAATTTATTTTATTTTTATTAAAAAACAAAACAAAACACCCCACCAAAAAAATCTGGTCTGTATCAGAATTAACTATGGGTTGGTTAAAAGATCCTTTAAATAAATCTTAGCACCTAATTCATAGATGTCTCAGGTATAAATGTTGCATGTTTAAAAAATTAAAAATGTCCTTCAGTCAAAGGATAACAACCAGCTGTCATTTTTCAGAGGTGGGTGGTGGTATTGTTGGAATTAAACCCATAAAATTCCATTATTTGTCCTTTCTACTTTAATAACATGCCACCTATGAAAAATAAAGTATACAATCAAGATGGCTAAATCTTAGATGGTAGATTTGTTTTGTAGATTTTCAATACCCCTACAACGTTCAATCGTTAAAATGTAAATCAAAATGAAGCAAATTTTTGGTACTTTTCATTTTAATAGCTCTGCCCCATTATTTTAATGTGAACTTCTGCTAAGTAAATCTTATTTTACACGGATTTCTTATAATAGGAAAATAGTGGAAATATTTTTTGAACATAAAATATATATTCAAAAAAAATCTTTATAAAAACATAATTAAATATTAGCAATACCACCACATTGCAGAAAAGTTTATTTAATCTCTATTATAATTTCATACTCTTTGGAAAGTTGCTAAATAAAATGCTGAAGTTAAAAAAAAGCACACATTGGCAGAACTTCTTGCTTTTTAATAGCAATGATACTGTCCTTTCATGCGTAGTTTATGTAGCAAATCATTACTTTTCAGCTTATAGCTATTATTTTTATAGAATTTACTGGGAGCCACAGACACCAATCCTTGAATTTTACAAAGACTGAAAAGAAGCCCAGAAAGGTGGTATGTCTTACAAGGAAGATTCACACAGCTAATTAATATAGAGCCGGGTCTAGATGTTACGGACTCGTCTTGATTTTCAGTTTTGTGCAAAGAGTTACATGTATTGTTACTACGGTGGGAATTCCTTAAGAGTTAGCCATTTGGCTTTTACCTACTTTAATATGTCGTATTTTCCCAATGTGACCAGAACATTTCCATTCCAGTGAACACTGAAAATTAATCAGCAAATCAGTTTTTATGTTGACAGTTCTATTCCCAAATGTTTTGACTTTAAACTTTTCTTTCATAACCTCACTGTAACATCAAACATGGCATTATATTCAAATTGTCACGTCATTATCAGGAAACCCAAACAGTGAGAAACATAGATTTTTCAAGATATGTGTAGAAAACTGGGGAAAAAAGGGTACCCCCTAAAATCCTTTCAGATTAAAAAAAGCTTTAGTAAAAGTGAATTCCATTGTGTATGTTCTCTTGTGTGACTTAATATTTAAAAATAAGAAATATCAAGCAATACGAATATTTACTAACTGAAGGATTTGTAATAGTTAATAGTTTTCTCAAAGATGAAAACATAAATACTGCTTAGAAAAAGTCCTTTGTCATTTATCTATTTCTGCAATTTTTTCTTTCTTGGTTTGGACCACAATGACATCTATTCATGAACTTGGTACATCATAAATAGCACTTTTGAGTCCACTGTCAATAGCTTAGAAGTTCATTATGTAAAGTAGAACATAGTTTAAATAATGCTACTTTTACTGAGTTTTTCTTTTCAGGGGGGATAGGAAACTGGAGCTATTTGATCTTGCTCAAGCTAAAAGTATGGTGACCAGTCATAGGCCCTTTCCTACTACTGAATTGTACAGAAGCTTTGACCTGCTTGCTTCATTTCTGACTTGGGCTGGTTGTCAATTTTTAGGCAGCCTAGTTAGTGAGTTTTCCTAGCCCTGGAGGTGCATAATACTGGTGCTTGACTTTGTACAGACACCCAGTTAATTTAGTTCTGCAGTCAATCAGAACTCCTAAGTTTAAGTGATCCACCAACCTCATTCAGCCTTCCCGGAACCAGGAATTATAGGCATGAATCACCACACCTAGCTAAGTTTCTGGTTTTTCATTTCACTACTTTCAGCTTTTGAATGTCATTAACCATATTTTGCCTTTAAGAATCTGTTAGGATCCTCAAATTCAAAGATATGTCTCTTATCATTATTTTTAATAACCTGATTTTCAAAGGATGATTCAAGAAAATGATGTCAAGAGGGCAGCTAGGTACCACAGTGGATAGAGCACTGGCCCTGGATTCAGGAGGAACTGAGTTCAAATCCAGCCTCAGACACATAACACTTACTAGCTGTGTGACCCTGGGCAAGTCACTTAACCCCACTGACTAGCCAAAAAAGGGAAAAAAAAGAACACGATGTCAGACTATAAAATTAATAGGGAATACATACTAGGGACTTCGATAGCGGCCTCTGAATCGGCGCTCTCTACTTCTAGAACGACTTCGTCTTCGTTCTTTGCTTCGGCTACGTTTTCGTTCACGGCTTTTGCTCTTTTTCCTTTCCCTGTCTCTGCTTCGTTTCCGTTCCTTACTTTTGCTCCTCTTTCGGTCATGACTTCGACTTCTACTCTTGCTTTTTTTTCTCCTGAAAAGAAAAGATTACATTTGTTTTGCAATTTCAAAATAAGTCTAATTTCCCTTTCTTTGGCGTCACTCATTTTACTTTTATTTTATAAAATTTCCTTGATATAAGTCACCATTACATATGAAGACACTCAAGAATAAACCTAGAAAAAAACCCCAAAAACCAAAACCTTCCAAAATGGAATCAACATTTTCCCCGAACCCTACTTCTACCTGCTGCTACAAAATTTCAGCATCAGTAGTTTGCATTAAATGACCTCTTATACTCCTACTAGATGCAGCTGCTGATAGATAGTGCTTCCTAGACCAATAGCAGAAGAATGGAGATGGTTATGAGGTCCTCCACTGGCTAATACTTTAAGTGGTAGGGAAAATCAAGTTCTTGCTTCAAGTCTCTAGTTGGTATGTATGGTCAACTCATATTCTCAGGTTCAAAAGTGAATTTATCTAATCAAATTTGGGGCCAACTTATATATAACTAGTGAACTTGACCTACTGTAAATCAAGAAACACATCAAAATTGGTAATTAAAATTAAGAGTTGCGAATGCAGTTTAACCATTATTTAAATAGATATACAAAAAACTCCTACACTGCCCTACATTTAACCTTACTCAACCCTTATGACTTAAATGTTTCTCTTCTTTAAGATATGGGAAAAAAGCCCATAATTAAGCTTATTTTCATTTTGCTTTGAGGATAACAAGGAACTTACAAAGCACTCTGACAATATCCTAATGCATGATCAAATGATTTTAACTGATATGCCTAATTTTCTGGACTTAGTTAATTGTTACATGAGGATGTATACTGAATTTATATTTTCTCTTGTGCTCACATCTTAGATGACCAAGACAAGAAATGGTTAAATTCGGTTAATTAACCCTATAGGCAATTTAGGATCCTACTTAAATAGATTGTCAATGAAACCCAGTAATACTTTTAACATCACTAAAAATTGCAAACGGATCATATGCTGCTCTTTCCTACTACAAACTCCCCATATACACAACCCAGTTAATTTACAGAATGATGCAATTGTATTCCTCCCTAACCCACCCAAGTTAAATACCTAAAGATAAGATATTCTTTCAACACCATTTATCAAGAGAAAAAAAGAAAAAAAAGTCTTTTTTTTCCCTCTAAAGAAAGTCAATTTGCAGTGGCTGAAAGTTCAGGCATTCACTATTAGTGACATATTCTAGGCCCTTGTGTTATTTTGAAATGTAAACAATTTTTAATCCAGATGAAGAAATTTAAATGTAAAAAGTAGCATAAGAGCAATTATGATCTGCCTCAGAGATCCTAGAAGCAGGTCATCTGGGAATGCATTGAAAATAGAAAATGGAAGACACCCACCTTCTGGAATCTTGAAACCCACACTCCAATCACAAGGAGATGTAGAGCTTTCCAAGGAGGCAGAAACTTTGTCTAAAATTTCAAGATAATCCACCTGACTGTCAGAAATTTATATGCTAGTAGCACATGTCAGAAAATTAGGCTACACTCATTATTTATATAAGTCATCATAGTAATGCCCAAAAAGGCAATAGATATAACATTCCAACTTTGTTGCCTGGAAAACCTGACATTGTTATCATATAGGTTGCTGAAGGATTTTGAGAGTAACAATCAAAAACTTTATTTTCACTCAACAAGTAGGGCAGGTCAACTAAAAATAAGTAAATAAAGGCATGCCCTACAAATACTACTTAGATTTAGATGAAGGCATCTGCTTACTGATATCAGGCCATTAAACAGCAAAATGAAGTGGACGACCTCTTGTACTTATCATTGGCCCCAAGACCAATTCAAAGAAAGGGTTGCTACCCCTTTCACCAGCTGCTTCAAAAGATTCTTGTCCTCATGGCAGCTCCAGTCAGGTAAAAGGCTGCATTAACTATAATAGTAACATACTATACCAATTAGTCAACTGAATTATTTGAATAAAAGCTTAAGTATTTAAGTGTTTCTTTAGAAACCTAAATCAAATGAAAGAGATTGAAATTAAAATCTATGAAACAGGACAGACTTTGCTACACCTAATTTGGAAGACAATACTCAAATTCTTAATTTTAATTCTGTACAAATATTTTAAAGTAGGCCACTTACTGGATTAGGTTTTTGTTGAATAACGTCTGTCGTAATGTCTGTTAAAACTTGTACTTGAATTTGCCTTATTCCATATATAGGGAAATCTCAATTTTAAACGTAATACACATTGGTATTTGAAGTTATTCTAAGGAAGGAGAATCATTTGTTCAAATATTGTACAATACCTACACTAAGGTAGCCAAAATGTTCCGTTTTTGTTATCTTCATCTTTGGGCCCATCCTTTAACGTCTTATCCAATATTTGTAAAATGCATATTATGTCAAATTGGCTCCACTGACTATAAATGCATTAACCATAGCTTTCTTTCAGATCAACTAAATAAACTGATGTAAAGGTATCCTATTATGTTTCTGGCTCCACACTTCACATGAGCTTAAATATTTTAAGAATTGAAAACCTTTTCTCATTTGACAATATTTTTACATGATGCATCTATTTGAATGTAAGCTCCTTGAGGTTAAAGACTTGGTTGGTTTTTATCTTTTTGTCTGCATAAAATATATTAGGTGTTTTATTTTTGTTAAACTGCTTTTGCTAAATTTAGTTTTTCTCCAGAGTGAATGAAATCATATTCACTTAAATCCCAAACTTACACATGTTTTTATTCCCAGTGATATTACTGGCGGCAACCTTGGTCAAAAAGGTCAGATTTAATTGCATCATAATCAATAATTCAATGTCTTGATTATCCCAAACATACATTTTGTGGTTCAAATTGCTTTCCCAAAGACAGAGAAATGAAACAAGTATGTATTTGGTCAAAAGGCCCAGTGTTTGTTATTATCTGAACAAGACTAGAACATACACAGAGTATGTTGGAATAATGGGCAAGTTGTTTTTTTCAAAATATACCCTTAGGAAGCAAATAACAGTAATATCTTCTTCCTGTGTTTTTAGTTAGAATTTAAGTGAGCTTTCTTGGTTTCTTGTTTACAAGCTTTTATAACAGGGGTAGGGAGCAATGTCAGAAAAATGGATCCCTGTGATTAGTCATCCATAATGATTATCTGCATCAGAAACCTTTGATACCATATAATTTTAGTAAAGAAATATTTTATAAACCTCTAAATAATCCCACCCCACTTCAGTTTCTCATTTAAAATCACCCCTATACTAAAGGAAATTGTCTACTTGTATTCTACACAAGCCTAGAAGGCTCTTTTCTGTTCTCTTTAAGCCCTTTAATAATAGTTCTACCATTTCCATTTATTTACTTGAGTCAGGGTGTAAAACATTATCATAATGCTTGACTAAGTTTGGGATTAAGATGAAACAAGGTTTACATCTAAATCCAAAGAGATGCCAGTAACAAGGAATACTTGGTGATACTGGGAAAGTATAAAAATATTCATTCCTTTAAAGAATTACAGCCCACAACCAAGAAAGTTATTTCTTCGTATCCACTTAGGATGTAGGGCTGCTTTTCCTCTCTAACTGAAACATGATATTCAGGCACGAATTACTCCCATTCAACTACATACTTAGATGTTTTTGCAGTTGCAGAGACTGCCAATATCCTAAGGCCATGCATAAAACCCTTCAAGGCACATTGGAACCTCTCTTTGAAACACCTGTTTGCTTCTGAGTACATAATTCAATATTAAGCTAAAGGTAGTAAAACCCCACAAATAATAAACGGTTTGTTCCTAATTTCTCTTTGTGACAACTGCATCCTAGAATCCCCAACTGAAATTATGTAAAGACAGGATATTCTATTTAAGTTATTCCCATCTCTCTAATTCAACAGGGACTGTATAGGTTTTGGATATTATACAAAAATAAAATTTTCTGGTGTAGTATATCCAGATAATAATAATGATCTATTTCATTAACAAATTAACACATCTTATCTATTTTATGGAAATTATATCTACCTACCTAACAGAGTTGTTGTAAGGATGCATGAGGTAGTGTATAGTGAAGAACTTTGAGCTCTTAGGAGGAAAAGAGCCAAAAAAGAACCAAATGAGTATTTATAATCATTTTTGCAATATGTATTATATGCGTCATGAATACAATCAAAAATGTTTCAATATGACACATTTCAAACACTACCCGAAACATACATTTAATGCTGATACAAGACTTCTAAATAAGATCACAGGCATGAGAGCTACAGGGAACTTATTTGCTATAACCTCCTTTAAACAGGTCAGACTACCCAGTTTCTAATTGGAAGGGTGTGGGTCCAAAGCACACATATTATTTTGGGTTCTTCATACACCCACAGAAAACAAGATGCTTCAGGGGAAGAGACATAACTTGAGGAAGGGAGAAAATGCATTAAAACTCTGTACTGTGATTACAAAAGGGAGCTGAGCAGCTTTAAACTATTTTTGGCTTTGACAGTAATATTATATGTACGATTTGGGGAAAGCAAGTTCTTTCAGTGCCCTAGTTTCTCCTTTTAAGTTCATAAAGCACATTCTGCTCTTCCATAAGGCTCAGAAGATGATGTTGTGAAGATACAGAACGCAAGAGCAATACATTTTTTTTGGAAAATAATTATAAAGACCAACAAGTAGTCGAAATCTCAAAAAACTGCCTATTAAACTTTGGTTAACAACAATACACAAAGTAGGTCAAGTTCTAAAACAGGCAAAACCAAAAGGCTCCAGAAGGAAAAATTTCCTTTCTAAGGATCCAAGTAAATAAATGACACTATCAGTAAGTTCTTGACTATTATCTTTAGGTTCCATGCTTTAAATAATAAAGTCTATCCCCCCTGAATCCCTTCCAAAAACTTACTTCTTGCTACGCTCTTCATGGCCGTTAGCACTGCTCAACTTGTTCTCATCCTAAGCAGGGTTGATAGAAGAACATCATGAGGACGAAGTGGAAACATTTCAAGTTGTCAAAGGGTAAAGGGAACAGGAATAAAAAAATACAAGACAATTTAAAAACTAATTACTTATTTATAGTTTAATTTGGAAAGCTATAAAAAGAATTTAGATGGGTATGTTTAACCACTTTGCCGTTTACATTTTAGGCATACAATAAAGTGCAAGAATTATGCTGTCCATATAAAACATTTTAAACTTTAAATAAGTTATCCTATAGATTTATAGCGCTGAAGTGGTTAAGTGGATAAATGTAATTTCTATAAAACATAAAGACTCATGTTTAAAGTTTTATTCCATGAACTATGTCCCTTTCATCAGTACCACGGCTATATTTCTGCCTAAGCCCCAAGTGGCCATGCTAGCAGCCAGCCACTATCGATTTCCTGTGACCGATGCCATTCCTGAGATCTTCGCCCATTTTCGTTGGAGGGTTGGGACTGTAAGAGCTTGATGCCACCTCTGTCACACATCTCGCCCTGAAGCAAACAGGGATTCACACTGCTTTAGTAATGTTGACTCCCAAGAACCCAAGAAAGTCATTAATAATCCACCAGTCCAGCCTAAACATTCCCTATTTCCATACCTGTTTTACATGGAAAAATATCCATGTTAAACTATGGGTAGCACAAAAATCTTAACATTACACATTATGAAAGTAGCTCTTTCAAGATTCTATGTTATTACTTAAAACTAATATACAGTGTTTACAGCTAATAAATACTCATCCACAATTGGTACCACATGGTCGAGCTACACACTCCAAAACAAATATCGGTTTTATTTTTAAAAATCACACCAGTTTTATTTTACTTTTACTTTACACCAGTTGTACTAAGAGTATAACTGCTAACTTATAAAGTCTACAGTTTGTGAAACCAGTGATAATGCATGCATATAGTTAACATTTTCACCACCATCTGGTGAAAGAATGAAAAGACAGTATAGTTTTGCTGCCATAGAGAAATGGGTCAAAAACTAACTACTCTACATCATCCAAAACATTTAAAAAAAAAGATTGTGTGAAATATTATAGCAGGTCCTAATTAAGTTATTACAAAAGTAAGGACAGTACAAGTTTTAAAATAACACTGCACTGTGATACTGCCTCTTTAGTTTGCTAAGAAATTTCTGCTCAGGGATCCAAGAATTTATCATGTGCTTTTAACTTAGTAGCTGATTGTAACCTGACCTGTTTTTATGATTTTTCTATCACCAGTCGTCTACACCAAAAAAATAAGTTAAAAATGCAACTCTCACTCATTACTTGAGTTGAGAAAACTTTCCTCATTAAAAGATTTACTTGCCACAGACTGGTAATAAGATTATTCTTGGACCCCTGCTACTTTCCCAAACCATTGCATTCACCTTCTTGCTATACCAAACTGGAGCTGGTAATTCTTAGTCGAGTCATTTTACCTAGGGGACCACGGTACAGCGATAAGTCACTCAATTACTACCTTATGATTGACAGTTCACACTGGAATCAAAGGTGAATTCATGGGAGTAGAGGTGAGATATCGTTAGGCAAGTCTACAAAGAGAGATAGATGGGCATTTATTCATCACGCTGAAGTGAAACTACTGCACAATATAATTACATCAATAGCATATATTTACTTTGTAAGTTACATGTAATGCATCTCTGATAAGATAAATCAAGAGGGCTCCGGGGATGTTAGTTTACATTTCAGCAGTAGTTTCATGAATAATGCTAAATTAAGGAATATGCAAAACCTCACCGACATGTTTTTCTCACCTTCTTATAAGGAGCCTCAAGCATTGCTTCTATATCAATATCGTCTGCCATTCTTTCAGAACACCTATAAAAAAAGCAAAGGCGAGTTTATTAAGCCTGCATTTCACTTGATTGAGTTGGTTTCGTTATTAAACTCTTTCCCAACATCAGAAGTATCCTCAAGTTGTTTAGTAACCTAGTTACTTAATAACGCACTTTAATGCCGGGCAACTGGGATGCCTCGGTCAAGCAAACTGCCTGGGACAAGAACACAGAGAGGACTGCCTGCCTCGCATGTCACAGATGCTTGGGGTGGGGGTGGGGTGGGGTGGGTGGCCTACCTCACACTAGCCGGCCTACCTCACACAGGCCGAGGGCCGAAGGGGGAACCGCGGGCACCCACAAGTGGTTCACCAGCTTTAAGTGGGGGCACCCAGGGCCAGTTCTTGCCGCTTGCCATATTAGGGGCTGAGTGAAACTGCCTTAGGAAGGGCGGGGGGCTCTGCCCGGGCAGCGCTCGTCCCGCGCCATGTTGAGAGGTCACGGCCACCCCAGGCGCCCCAGCTATAATATAGGCCTGGCGTTCCCGGGGCCGACTTGTCGACGTCCGCGCTGGGGCTTCCCCGCCTCGAGGTTACAGTGCGGACCCTAAAACTCCTCGCCAAGCTGCCCGAAGGCGCGGCAACTTCCCCTTCGGCTCCCTGGCCTTCTCTTCAGCTCGGCTAACCCCTTCGGAGCCACCCCTCCCCCTCCTTCTTCCCCTTCGTGGCCACCCCGGCGGCTCGGCGCGGCAGCAAGGAATCCCGAGTCCCCTCAGCCCCCGGGCGGGGCCGGATCCATGCATGGAGACAGAAAAGGGTAATGAAAAGGAGAGTTAAGAGACCTATCGCCGAGACCTCTTACCTGTGCGGGCTCTCGAGCAAGTGTGGTGCTCGCGTCTAGAGGAGGCGCTGCCGCTGTGGCTGCCGCCGGGGCTACTGTTAAGCCGCTGCGGCCTGGGCCCAGGCCGCGGTCCGTCCCGCCCGCCCAGCCCGAGTTTCGGGCGCAGAGGGCGGCAGGGCCGGAGCGGATCTAAAAGAGAATAATGGGATTAGAAGACCCCCGCGCGGGTGAAGCAGGGCGGCGGCTTGCGGCAAATCGGTATCCAACCGTGCGACAGTGACTGCAACTCCCTGAAATGGCGGCCGCTGCTTTCCCAGTCACACACACTCACGAACACACATATACACACACGCAAACACACACACAGACGGGGCCACACAGCGCCCCCAGCACGGGCTCTCGCGAGAAACTTCTCTGGCCAAAGCGCTGACCCATTGAAATATCGCGAGAACCTACAGCGGCGAGAGAGCCGCTGCACAATCTCGCGCAAGAGTTGCGCCAGAGACGTGCCCACCCTACCCCCCCCTCCTAGAAAGACAACCTATAAATCTTCCCTCCCACCCATCCCAGCCTAGGAAGGGTGAAAGTCTCGCGAGAACGGAAAGGCGCGACTAGTAGAAAGTCTGTTGGCTAGGCTGCAGTCAGTCTTTTTTCGAGACCCCCCCACAGCGAACGGTGTTTCACCGCCGCTGGGCTCCTCCCAGCTTGGTGGGGCGGGGGGGGGAGAGTTCTTTCCCCGCCCCATCCGTGGCTCTCCAGATCAACTGTCAGGGTTGCTATATAGCCAGGGCTCCATATGGTCATAAGCTAAAACTACCATTTTTCCCGTTAGCCAGTGAAATCTTCGGGGGGGGGGGGTGAAAAGCAAGGCAAGAAGACTCCTGGGAGAGAAGACTAACTGACCAGGGGAAAGGGGGAGGGGAAGGGCACGCGAGAACTGGGGCGGGGGGAAGGGGGCGCGCGCGAGCCGAAAGTGGCACGAGCAGCCTCTGCCCTGCTTAGCTTTGTCACTAGTTTGTAGCAACTGGCGTCCTTCCAAGTCGGGTCCCTGGGGCTGGCGAAGACTGTGGTTGCTATTGTTCCTTTCGAGGGCCCCCCCTAGGGCTGGGCGGTGGCGCACAGTACAGCAACAATCTTCATACTACTCGGGAAGGAAGCTCCCCTAAGCTCTTTAAACCTTACTCTGGAAGAAGAAAGGCCTTGGCCGGTTGTATTACACCTGTGCTCCGCCCCTCCCCTCCCCCACATACCAAGAGGTTTTCGACTGGTTCTTAAGTTAAATTCTGAGCCTCTAAGTGAAAACTTTAAAAAGAGCACCTCTTTATATGTTTTCAGTTGGAAAGTTTGGCTTTACTCTTCAAAATAGAAAGCCTCCTCCCAACGAGTAGGGTTTAACTGCAGTTAATATTTTGTGTACATCCAGCGTTGGGGGAAGACTGGTGACTGTTTGTAAAGGTAATGTATTTTGTACTCATTTTTATTGTAAATAACCCCCTTCCCTTATTCCTTTTCCTAAGGAGTCCAGCTCCTTATTGGAAATGTTACTTAGCTTTCTGGAGTAAGAGTGTAAAAAGAAAGGAAAATAGCTTTTGCTAATTAGATATTTCAAACTGAATGTCACAGAGACATCTGAAACTCAATATTTCCCAAACAAAACTATCTTTCTTTTAAACCCAGATCTGTTTTCCAAATTATCCTTCCAGTGTCCCATAATGTCAGCATTTTCCTCCTTGTCCTTCATTCCAAGTGTTGTCTAATCACGTACATTCTAGCTCTGCAACATCTCTGATTCTGGTTCTTTCCCAACCACCTCAGTTCAGACTCTCATCAGTGACTTCTGTCTGATTATTGCCATGGCCTATTACTAAATATCATTGCCTCGAGTCTGTTAACCCAATCCACATAGCTTGCTATAATGATTTTCCTTGAGCACAGGTCTACAGTGTGTCACTTGACCATGTCACTGATCTACTCAAACTTCTGTGATTCTTTTTTACCTCTGATTAATATAAAATCTGGCTTTTAAATACTGCATTTCTATGAAAAAGCCAAATTGGGCTCCCTGTTCCTTATGGCACTCCCGGAGGTGGTGGCTCTCTCAAGTCCTTAATGAATTCCTTTCTCACCTTCATAGAATCCCACCCTTCCTGCTAGAATCAACTCTAGCAGCACAAAGCTTTTTCAATCAGTCAACAAGCACTAAGTACTAACTATGGGCTAGGTCCCGTGCTAAATACTGTCGACAGTAAGGAAGGCAAGACCGATCCCCAGGCCTCCAGTTCACACAAATTGGTGAGAGACGACATATAAATAGGTACACTCTCGATACATACTTTGTAGAGGATAAGGGGGGTGGCTGAAATTGGGGGAAGGGTATGAAGCATATAATCAAGAAGGCCTCCTGCAGAAAGACGTGTTTGAGCTGAATTTTGAAAGAAGGCAGAGGGGAGGAAGGAGACCATTCCAGGAATGGAGAGTCAGCCAGTTCCAAGGCAAAAAATGCAATATTTGAAGAAAGGTAAGTTGCTTGCATACTCCCATCTGTTAGTGCAGTGTCCTCCCTCCCAAACTACCTCCTTATTTTGTATTTATTTTGCACTCATTCTGTATATATCCTGCATCTGTTTTATATATTACACACACACACAGAAATGTTTTCTTCCCTCATTGTTCCATGAGAGTTGGAATTGTTTCTTCGTAGTTCTCATTGCCTATCACAGTTCCTGCCACTTTATAGATATTTCATAAGTGCTATTTGATTGCCAAATTTCTCTTTTTTTCCTCCAAATAGATGCATAAATACCATCTAAAGGGCATCTGTCAATCCTATTTATGTAGGGCATCTTAACTCCATTCATCATATATATTAATATACATATAATAAAGAGTAAAGTTCCTTGCCCAAGGTCACACAATTAGTAGTAAGAAGTAGAATTTCGTTTGGAACCCATTTTCTCGGACTCCAAATCCTTTACTTTTTTACCTATAAAACTCTTCCTGAAATTGTGAAGAACCCAGGTGGCTCAGAATTGAGCCTTATGGTATTGGGTTAATGTTATCTAGGGAAGGAAACAATTTTCTGATTATATCAGCCTTAGTTTGTAGTACCCTTAAATCACTTACTTCTCAGTGTACCTAGAAGATCTTGGCAATTTGGAAAAATACTAAATTGATGAACGTGCCCTAAACAAAGACCAAAAAAAGCCCCAGATCTAAGATGCTTCTTGCTTAGTCTTTTGATTTTAAGTTTCAAAAGAAATAACAAATTTAAACTTTCACTTCAAATATCATTATTCTTCAGATCACCAGGTATCTGTGTCTCCAGTCTGTGCTTCCTTAGAAAGGTATTTAATCATGCAGTTGGGAGGCTTTTGGGGTGATAGGAAGAATATGAAGGTATTATGTTTTCTGGCCAACACTCTAGGCTCCTTAAAGTACAAGCAAGGGAACATGTTACATTTTTAGAAGCCTAGACATGGGAGGTTTGATAGAGTAAACTGAGTGAGTCACACAGAGTCAAAGAAAATATGACCTGGGCAGCTAGGTGGCCGGAGTGGAGTGCACTGGCCCTCGAGTCAGGAAGACCTGAGTTCAAATTTGTCCTCAGACATATAACTCTCACTAGCTGTGTGACTCTGGGCAAGTCGCTTAACCCCAACTGCCTTATAAAAAAAAAAAAAGAAAATATGACCTTCTTGGGGGAAGATGTTAAAAATGTACATGTTGCATTTGATCCCAGCGCTTGTAGGGCCTTTCGCCACGGGTTAAATTAATTAGAATAGGATTTTTCCTGTTTCCTCACTCTGGAGGCTGCATAACCCAGTTGAATATCTGCCATCACCCTGTTTCACCTTCTCTAGCAGTGTCCTTGGCTCTCTGTGGATGCCCCTTCCAAAACACACACACTGAATTGACTGAATTTCTTAGTGCAAACAGGAGCTGGTGTAGGAGAAAGTAGCAGAAAAAAGGACATCCTTATCCTGATTTGATGATGATAAAATGGCTGACATTACATGCAAGCCATAATAAAAAGAAACCTGATAACTGATGTAGGAATTATTGCCATCACACAATATATGGACAAAGATTAGTTTTTATTTAACCTTAATATGATCCTACTGATAATGAATCTTAAGATGGCACTAAAAATAACTAATGTTTCTATATTTGTAAACATCTCATTTGATCCATATAGCCATGAGAGAAAAGTACTATCATTTCCATTTTGCACATGAGGAAACTAAGGCCTAGGTTTGTTAAAGAATTATTCATTGTTAATATGGCTAGTAAATGTCTTAGGGCAGAACTGGAATTCAGGTTTTCCTTACTTTAGGTCCTTTCTCTATCCACTACACCACCAAGCTGCCTAATTACTAAGTGCAGAAAGTGGAATCTAGATCCAAGGCTCTTCCAACTCTTACCTTCAGCACTTTTTTCCCCATACCATATATGAAATTCTATAAAGCATTTCAAAGAAGGGTCCTCTTGGGTAGTCTGAACAATAAGTATGAAATTCTGATTGTTACTGACCTTACAAAATGAGAGTCCTTTAACACAGCTCCATTAAGAAGGGTGTGTACAAGATCAGTGTCTATAGATTTAAGTACCTAACTGAAAGTTAACTGTAAGCTAGTAAGGAGAAAAATATCCTCAGGATACTGCTTACACTGGAGCCCTTTGAGGCAAAATTTGATCACTTTGAGGAAGCAAAGGCAAACTACAAAATAACTGACATACCTTCTTACCTCTCAAGGCAGCCATTCCACTTTTAGATAGCTCTTATGGTTGGTAAGATTTTTTTCTTATATCAAGCACATTCAGAGGAAAATTTAGGTCTGATGTAGGAAAGAAATGCCTAATAATTAACTAGATCTAAGGGTGGGTTGCTGGGAGGAATAATGGGTTCATTCAAGTCCTTTAAGCAAAGACTACATGACCACTTGTTGGGTATAACTTGGAAGAGATAATTGTTCAGTTTGGGTCAGAAGATACCCCTGCCTAAAAAGATGAGTCTCATTGACTCAGAGTGAAGAAAGCAGAATTAGGAAAGCAATATACACAATGACTACAACAATGTAAACAGGAAGAACACAAGTAAATACAAAAGTGAACGCTGTAATTATAATGACCAAGCTTGTCACTAAAGAGGAAATGAGAAAATGTACTTCCTTTCCTTCTTTGCAGAGGTGGAGAACTGTGGGTGTGGATCATTGTATATACTGTCAGACCTGGTTAACAAATTGGTTAGTTTTGTTGAAATGCTCCCTGCCCTTCTTTCTTTTCTAATTTTTGTTTGAAGAGATGGCTGTCTGGGTAGGCATTACAGCAGGAATATATTAAAAATGAAGGTGATGCAAACACGAGATCGGTTTTTTAAAAAGATGGATCTTAATAGAATCAATAACAGTTGAGGACTTGAAGGAACCTTAGAGAACATGTATTTCAATTCTCTTATTTTATTAGGAACCCAAACCTCAGAGTTAAATGACTTGTCCAAGGGCTTATAAGCTAAGTGATCAGGTTCTACTTAAGTATCTGAATAAAAACATCAAACTTCAAATATAATATTTTACTGTGCAGCAATTACAAAAACATAAAATTAAGTTCACAGAGCTAGATACTTTCCTCTGAAATTTGTATACATTTCATATTTAATTTTCTATATTCATGTTGCTTTCCCCCAATAGTCTGTAAGCTCCTTTAGGGAAGAGACCATTTTGCCTTTGTATCTCTAGCCTTTTATACACAGTTGAACTGAATTGGAAACAAAAGATAAAATTAATCTCTGTTCAAGAAACAGATCTGGGTTTTAGTTCCAGTTTTGTCATTTACTAGCTGGGTGGATATACATATATACATACATACACACATATAAAAAACTTCTCTGAGCCTCAGTTTCTTCAGTGGGGATGAGAATGCTGGAAACTGCTACTTCTAGGGTGAGGAAAGTTTTACTTTGCAAAATGTAAAGAACTATGGATTCTTAATTATCATTTTGTGCACTATTGGTTCGGTCTCCTAGTCCACATCCCTGGGGTGTGAGAACCTTCAGGAAGACTAACTGACACATCCTAGCCACTTTGTTGCCTTTTGGGTGACATCTCAATCACTGACTCAGAGTGACACATCCAAGCCAGAACAAACTGAGAACTTGGCAATATCTTAACACTTTACCCCCAACTACCTTCAGTTACACTTTTCAGATACAAATTGGATCTTGTACAAACGAATGGTCCTAGGCCTCATTTTATACCAGGAAGCAGCCAGTTGGAGTAGAAAATGTGCTGGACTTGAAGTCAGGAAGTCTCACGCTTACTAGCTGGTCAATCATAAGCAATCATGAACTTAACCTCTCTGAGTTTTCTTGTTTGTGAAATAAGACAGTGAAGTCAGGCATACTTTCTCAACAAGGTTGCAGCGAGGTTTAAACGAAGCAATATATGTAAATAGCATTT